AGGGGAAAGCCCTCCATTTGACCCATATAAGTTTGCAAAAACCCATAAAACCTGTACATTGGGGCACTGTTGTACTCTGGAGATATTGCTAAACAAATATTGGGGTGTTCTTTGTCAGTAACACATAACAGGAACTGAGAATCCATGCCTAAAGTACAATGCGAGAGATAAATAACACAAAAAAATGACTATCCAAAAGTTTGACAATGATAGAATTAGTGCATGGAAAGTGTTAAATTACCACCATTTGAAATACCCTAGGGTGTCTATGTTTCAGAAATATATGGTTTAATGGGGGTAAATTACATTGGCCGGCTTCAAAAATGTCCCAAATAGGAGATGGGTAAATGATGACCAGCTGTGAAAATTCCAAGTTGGAAAACTGGAATGCGCACCTTCCAAATAAGGTCTTTTAGCCCCCAGAGAACCTGACACACCTTTACATGGGTGGTAACACTGTACTAAGGAGATGTTGCTGAACACATAATGGGGTGTTCTGTGGCAGTAATACATAACAGGAGCTGAGAATCCATGCCTAAAGTTCACTGTTTTAAAAAAAAAAAAACACAAAAAAATTACTAGTCAAAGGGTTGACAAAGACTGGTGGTAGAATTAGTGCATGGAAAGGGTTAAAATACCACCAATTGAAATACCGTAGGGTGTCTACATTTGAAAAATATATGGTTTGATGGGGGTAAATTACAATGGCTGGCTTAAAAAATGTCCCAAATAGGACATGGGTGCATGATGACCATCTGTGAAAATTCCAAGTTGGAAAACTGGAATGTGCACCCTCCAAATAAGTCTTTTAGCCCCCAGAGAACCCAACACACCTATACATGGGGGTTATCACTGTACTCAGGAGATGTTGCTGAACACATATTGGGGTGTTCTTTGGCAGTAACCCTTAAAGTTCTCCGTACATGTATTCTTAAATTGCTATGTGTGTCAAAAAAACCCACAAATTATTATTTTATTTAATTTGGCATAGATTGGTGGTAAAATGGTTGCATGATAAGAGTCAAAATACCCCAAGTTTAAAACCTTAGCTTGTCTTCTTTAAAAAAAAATATATACATGTGAAAGGTTATTCAGGGATTCTTGACAGATATTAGTGTTACAATGTAACGCGTTAATTTTGAAAACAAAAATGGTTAGGAAATAGCAAAGTGCTACTTGTATTTATTGCCCTACAGGTTTCCCAAAAAAAAAAGCTAAGAACATGTTAACATTGGGCATTTCTAAACTCAGGACAAAATTTAGAAACTATTTAGCATGGGTGTATTTTGGCGGTTGTAAATGTGTAACAAATTTTGGGGGTCAAAGTTCGAAAATGTGTTTTACATTTTTTCATCATATTTTATAATTGCTTTTATAGTAAATTATATGATAGGATGAAAATAATGGTATCTTTAGAAAGACCATTTAATGGTGCGTGAAAAATTGTATATAATATGTGTGGGTACAGTAAATGAGTAAGAGGAAAATTACAGCTAAACACAAACACCGCAGAAATGTAAAAACAGCCCTGGTCCCAAATGGTAAGAAAATTGAAAAGTGGTCTGGTCACTAAGGGGTTAATAACCTGCAATAATTACCTATGAGGGTTAACTCCACATCTAGTGGATGTCTACCAGACAGCCACAAGAGGGACGTCCAGGTCATTAGGCGACTTTTAATTATCTAACTGACGCTGCACGCTGTATGTCCTTACGCTATGCACGAGGACATCCAACATCATGTAAAACTCCATAGGAAAGCATTATACATGCTTTCCTATGAGGGAAATACTAAGGCGAGCAGGGCCATGGACGCACATGCGCATTAGTTTTTTCCCACAGGCTGACTTTGGAAAAAAGTGAGTAAATAATTTATTGCATTAAAGGGACAATACAATCACCAAAAAAATGTTAGCTTAATAAAGCAGTTACTACATGCTTCCTGTAAAAGGGACAGGAGCCCGAAATCTAAATGGTCCTGCTGGATATAGGACAGTTAAGAGGTAAGTAATTTAATAATCACATTGCGTAGCTATCCAGAAGCCATCCTTTGGGCATTGATCTGTGACCTCTGATACAAAACATCCTAGAGTCAATGTCAGAGACAGATTTTCCTACCATCACACACCATTCAGATTGTCAAGGAAAATAAAATGTATGTATTATTAAAATCCTCTGTATGGGATGGTCTCTGTAGGATGAGAGCAGTTGATGATACCAAGTAAATTTGGATCCCTTCTATTATCACAACAACAAGTGTCTCCGTTCATTACTATCTTTTAATGGGGACATGTACAAATCTTGTTGCTCTAGACACAAGGTCCTTTAGTGATAGTTTTAAAAAATAAAAATAAAGATGTCTGCTTTGGAGTCATACCAAGTCAAGTCCCAATGTCTCTCTAGGAGTGCTTAGCAAAAAAATAATTGCTGACAACCACCATTCCATGGAATGATTGGTTCTTTCTAGTTAGGGATCCTAAATTTCATCCTGTTAGTATAGTTCCAGATGACCCTCATTGTGGAAATGGAAAATAGGAACTGTGTCTTATGGCCAATGCTGAGGTTGATGACAAAAAAAGGTTCTCTTTTCATCTTTTGACACTTTCCAGCACCCGTCACTATTAACAGACATGGGAAAGGGCAGTTTTTATGGAATTCCTCTGTTTTGTACTCTTGTGCATGTGTAAAAGACAGTGATGTGGCTCCTTGCTGACGAAGTGCCAGGATCTGAAGATAGACCATTGGTAGTATCCACATGGGAGCTCTTTTTTAAATAGGGATGACAACTTTAGAGATATTTTGCAATATATGCAAAGACCCCAAAAGTATCCCTGCTACTAGTTATGACTAGTAATCACTCTATAGGCATCCAGACCACTTCATATCAATGCTGTGTTTAAGTTCCTCGCAGGCATAGGCAACATTTGGCACTCCAGATGTTTTGGACTACGCTTCCCATGATGCTTTGCCAGCATTATGGGTGTAAGAGCATTATGGGGGATGTAGTCCACAACATCTGGAGTGCCGAAGGTTGTCTATCCCTGCGTCTAGTGGGTGTCACTCAACCACTAGAGGTGCTACTGAAGAACTATCTGAATAAAACTTTGCTCAGAGAGACCATCTGACTGGCGTAGTAAGGTGTTTTGTGTTGTATGAGCACCAGCCTCCCAATTGGCTGAGCCAAGGAGGCGCTGTGAGGGAGAAAAGGTGAGTAAAACTACTTTTTTTCCTCTCTACACGTGGGAGCCGGTCACCTAAACAGCCACCAGGGAATTATAGCACTGCTAGTACACATTTGTATGCCTACCGTTCAGGGCCGGACTGGCCCACCGGGATACCGGGAAATTTCCCGGTGGGCCGCGGCACCTGGGGGGCCGGAGAGAGACAGGGAGCCCTGCGCCCTAATATTTTAATAATATCGCGGCCACCGGCCGCATGTCGGTGCCGCCGGGTGGCCGGTCCGGCGGCACACTCTGAGGTGAATACTCACCTTGCGGCCGGCGGCCCCATCTCCTGTGCTGACAGCTGTCAGTATTAGTGAGTGTGCCGGGCGGCCGCCTAAACAATCCGGCGGCACACTCACTGATACTGACAGCCGTGCAGCTGTCAGCACAGGAGGACTGAGGGAGGGGGCCGAGCTAGCTACCATGCTCCCTCGCGGTTCCCAGAATTCCCAGCATCTACACATCATAGAGTAGGGATTACTCTACGATGTGTCCATGCTGGGAATTATGGGAAGCGCAAGGGAGCATGGTAGCTAGCTCCGCCCCCTCCCTCAGTCCTCCTGTAACAAGATAAGCAGGCACACAGAAGGGGAAGGAGGGAGACAAAGAGGGGAAGGGGGAGACAAATAGAGGGGAAGGGGGAGACAAAGAGGGGAATGGGGGAGAGGAATGGGGACAAACAGAGGAATGTGACAACAGAGGAAGGAGACAAACAGGAGGGAACCTGGGGGGACAAAGGAAGGGGAGACAAATAGAGGAAGGAGACAACAGAGGGAATTGGGGACAAATAGAGGGAATGGGGGGGACAAATAGAGGCTGGGAGACAAATGAGGAACAAATAGAGGGAATGGGGGGACCAAATAGAGGAAACGGGGGGCAACAGAGGGAAGGGGACAACAGGAGGGAAATCGGGGAAGAAGAGGGAAGCTGGGAGACAAAGAGGAAACGGAGGGAGACAACAGAGGAACGGGGGACAAACAGAGGGAACAGGGGACCAAACAGAGAGGAAGGAGAAACAGATACCCGGGGACAAACAAAGGAAACGGGGGAAATAGAGGGGAAGGGGGACAAATAGAGGGGAATGGGGGCAAATAGAGGGGAAGGGGGACAAATAGAGGGGAAGGGGGGACAAATAGCGGGGAAGGGGGAGACAAATAGAGGGGAATGGAGGGAGACAAATAGAGGGGAATGGGGGGACAAATAGAGAGGTAATAGAGAGACACCAGGGAAGGGGGGGACAAAGAGACAGAGGGGTAATAGGAGGTTGGGGGGACAAAGAGAGGGGTAATAGAGAGACACAGGAGAAGGGGGGACACAGACAGAGGGGTAAGAGAGAGACACAGGAAGGAGATGGGGAAGAGAGACACAGGGAGGAGTTGGGGAAGAGAGACACACGGAAGGTTTGTTGGGGGGACAAAGAGACATGCAGTAGGGAAGGGGAACAAAGTGACACAAGATTTGTGGGAGGCAACGCTGGGCTGGGGAAAAAGAGACAGAGAGTGACTGGGAGAAGAGAAAGAGGCACACAGAGTCTGGAGTTCAGGGCCGGCGCGTCCATAAGGCGGCACAGGCGGCCGCCTTAGGGCGCACCGGTTTCGGGGGCGCAATATTTCAGTGACCGACAGGAGGGAAGCTCTCCCTCCTGCCAGGCCACCATCTCGACCCCCGGCGCAGCGTGCGGCAGTGCTGTGATCAGACGCGGCGAGGGAGCTCTAACCTCTCTGCTCTGCTCCCTCGCGCGCGCTGTCTGCTGATGCCGCGGGAGCCGGAATATGACGTCATATTCCGGCTCCCGCGGTATCAGAAGGCAGCCGCGAGGGAGCAGAGCAGAGAGGTTAGAGCTCCCTCGCCGCGTCTGATCACAGCACTGCCGCACTGGACCCCAGGGAATGATTCATCATCCACACCAGCTCTCCAGGTAGGGAGGCAGGGTGGAAAATGTTTATTTATTAAAATAATTAGTGAGTGTGTCTGTGAGTGTATGTGTGTCTGTGAGTGTATGTGTGTCTGTGAGTGATTGTATGAGTACTGCATGTGAGTGTATGAGTGTGGCAGTGTATGTGTGTCTGTCAGTGTGTGTTTGTGAGTGTCTGTCAAATCAGTGAGAGTATCTTTGTCATTGAGTCTGTGTGTGAGTATCAGTGTGTCTGTCAATGAATGAGTGTCTGTCTGTGTGTGAGTGTCTGTGTGTGACTGTGTGTGTATGTGTGTCTGTGTGTGAGTGTATGTGTGACTGTGTGCCTGTGAGTGACTGTGATTGAGTGTGTGTCTGTGTGCGAGTGTATGTGTGCATGAGTATGTGTGTCTGTGAGTGTGTGTGCATGAGTGTATGTGTGTGTCTGTGAGTGATTGTATGAGTACTGCATGTGAGTGTATGAGTGTGGCAGTGTATGTGTGTCTGTCAGTGTGTGTTTGTGAGTGTCTGTCAAATCAGTGAGAGTATCTTTGTCATTGAGTCTGTGTGTGAGTATCAGTGTGTCTGTCAATGAATGAGTGTGTCTGTCTGTGTGTGAGTGTCTGTGTGTGACTGTGTGTGTGTGTATGTGTGTCTGTGTGTGAGTGTATGTGTGCCTGTGAATGACTGTGATTGAGTGTGTGTCTGTGTGCGAGTGTATGTGTGCATGAGTATGTGTGTCTGTGAGTGTGTGTGCATGAGTGTATGTGTGTGTCTGTGAGTGATTGTATGTGTGTCTGTCAGTGTGTGTTTGTGAGTGTCTGTCAAATCAGTGAGAGTATCTTTGTCATTGAGTCTGTGTGTGAGTATCAGTGTGTCTGTCAATGAATGAGTGTGTCTGTCTGTGTGTGAGTGTCTGTGTGTGACTGTGTGTGTGTGTATGTGTGTCTGTGTGTGAGTGTATGTGTGCCTGTGAGTGACTGTGATTGAGTGTGTGTCTGTGTGCGAGTGTATGTGTGCATGAGTATGTGTGTCTGTGAGTGTGTGTGCATGAGTGTATGTGTGTGTCTGTGAGTGATTGTATGAGTACTGCATGTGAGTGTATGAGTGTGGCAGTGTATGTGTGTCTGTCAGTGTGTGTTTGTGAGTGTCTGTCAAATCAGTGAGAGTATCTTTGTCATTGAGTCTGTGTGTGAGTATCAGTATGTCTGTCAATTAATGAGTGTGTGTCAGATCAGTGAGTCTGTGTGTTTGTCATTGAGTGTGTGTGACTGTCAGTGTGTATAGACCACTGAGTGTTGCGTGGCGGAGCGCAGTACAGGAGCTTCTGTTTCCTGTACCCGGCCAGACTGACCGGAGGTGCTCACTGAGAGAGCACTCCCTGTCAGTCTGGCCAGGTACAGAAAATTGAAGCTCCTGTAGGGGATATCCTCCACTTGGCAACGCTACAAGAGAGGTAGGAGGCACACCAGGAAGGGGAGTGCGACCACTAAAGGGGTGGGGGTGCACCAAGGGACAGGGAGGGGAGGGGAGAGAAACACCAAGGGACAGGAAAAAGAGGGGAGAGCTTAGAAGAACACTAAGGGACAGGGAAGGGAGGGGACCACTAATGGACGGGGAGAGGGGCTGGTTAAGAGGCACATAGGTGAAGATGTTATTTTGGGGGGGGGTGGAAAGATACATCTTCGCCTATGTACCCAAAAATCCTTGCACCGGCCCTGCTGGAAGTTAGAAAAGAAGACACACAGATAGTAAGATTTTGGAAGGGAGAAAGAGACAAAGTGGCTGGGGAATTTAAGAACAACACAAAAGGAGGCTGGGGAAAAGAGAAATACAGAAGAGGCTGGAGAGGGTGAAAAAGAAACACACAGGGACTGGGATGAAGTAAAAAGATGCACAAAGGGTGGCTGTAAGAGAAAAAGGAGACAATTGGAGACAAGATACACTAAACGAGGTAAAGGTAATAGACGTAAATTGATGTGATCCTGACAGTAATACACACATATATATATATATATATATACCTATATATATATATATGCATGTATATTGATGTGTGTATTAGTAACATATAATTATGCCTATAATATTTACACATATAGTAATATACATTTATTTATGCATAATACACACATAAATGTCATTAAATATGTCATTATATATATATATATATATATATAATGAGCACGTATTGGCCCTGTCTTGTTGCTAGTTGCATACTCATGCACAATAACATATTCAAAGTGAAGAGCGCACCCATAGAACTTTTAAAATAAACAAGATCACTTCATTTTTTAGTTGTGCAACTGCAGACATTCAGCATTTCAGTACCATTACTAAAATGTCCTTAATAGGCCAAAGTAGTTGTACTGAAACATTACATGCAAATGTACGTCTACTTAAAATAAAGGCGCTCTTTTGTTTATTTTGAAGCCCTATATGCGTTCCTTCGTTGGAGTAAGAGTTTTCAATTTCAAGTTATTTTTTCACCCTCTTTATCAGCACACTATGCTGGCGCGACGCATTATTGGGCTGGTATAGAATTTTTTTCCAGGGCTGATTTTAGGTCCCAGTCCGGCCCTGCTACCGTTTTACTGTTCCTTTAACAGATTTTCTACCTACAGTTTAATTTTTTTGATTGAAAATACAAGAATACTAATAATACTCGTTTGCGATGCAGCTACACCTCCTGACCGCTGCTCGCACCCGTACAGCCAACTCGCGCTTGCAGGACTTCTCGCGGGCAGCTCTCTTCCTATGGAATAGCCTGCCTACCCCCATCAGACTCTCCCCTAGTCTTCAATACTTTAAGAAGTGCCCTAAAACCCATCTCTTAAGGAAAACTTATGGCCTCCCAGAGTAACCTCTTCCTTACACACCCGTCTCTTGGTCTCTACTCTTCTCCAGCTATGCTTCACTACCACCTTATTTGATTGCTATTTCCTGTCCTAATGTGTTTTATACCCCATCTCCTATAGACTGTAAACTCGCTTGAGCAGGGTCCTCTTCAACCTATCTTTCCCATAAGTTTTCTTGTAATTGTCCTATTTATTGTTAAATCACCCCTCTCATAATATTGTAAAGCGCTACGGAATCTGTTGGCGCTATATGAATGGCAATAATAATAATCATCTGTATTATAAAATATGAGATAGGAATAGAGTGAGGAGGGTTCTGGGAAGTTAATATATTAATTAGCAATAATATAGTTAATATAGCATATATTATTATTATTTAGCTGAAGCTACAACCCTGCAGTTCAGCCCAGTGATGGATCCAGTCTTAAAAACCACTTTCATTCCATAGCCCTTGCAGCCTATGGCTTTAAGTAAGGGTTGACACCCCCTCCTTTCAGGTTTTTGGGAGCAAGCACCTCCCTTTTATTGCTGTAACGAAGCAGAGTGGAGTCTGATGCTGGAGGAGGGGAAGTGCAGGTGCTAGGTGAAAAAGCACAGTGAATGAGAGGAGAGCAATAGGAAGGACAAGAAGGGAAGGATCACAGTCACAGAGTGCTCAGACCTGGAGGATTTATCTCAGGATACCGGCTGGAATATGCACATCAAGAAATAGTACTCACTCAGGAAATTACCCTGATTACAAATAAAACAATAGCTTGGGCAGAGGACAGGCTGCTCGAGAGGCTAAGAGAAGAGGGTAGATAGATACATTGTATCTTTGTATCTGACGTTCTAAAAGCAGAACGGTGACTAGCAGCTCAAGCACCATCCTCGCTGCCTCCTTGCCCACCCTAAGTGCCCCCTTCGTTGCCCAGCCTAGCTGACCACTGTGTGCTGCTGCGGGCAAGGCGGGCTGGAGGTCCGGGAGATGTCAGCAGTGAGTGGTACCGAGCCCAGCCCTGCAGCCGGGGGCAGGGTGTTCTTCCAGACCCCGCTGGCAGCCCCCGGAGCTCGGGAGGACCCCCCGCCGGTAGTGGCAGCGGCTCAGCAGCAGCAACAACACAAGCAGCAGCAGCAGAGGAGACAGCAGCAGGGCAAAGTGACTGTGAAATACGACAGGAAAGAGCTGAGGAAGCGGCTGGTGCTGGAGGAGTGGATTGTGGAGCAGCTCAGTGAGCTGTACGGCTGCGAGGTAGCCATGTACTAAAGTATCTCTCTCTCTAGTCTTAACACAGACCATGCTGCCCGCTTTAACCATTTTTACTGCTAACCTTGTAAAAGCCATGGATTTCATGAGGAAGATGTACTAAGCCAGCAGGGTAGCTGTGATTTTTTTTATTTATTTACTTTTTTTTTTTTTTAATACAGCCCCAATATATGGTTTAGCTATAACCCCCGCCCCCTCCCCATTGTGAGAAGTGGTCACCCTAGTCTAGTTTATCTCCTAATAATGTGTCCCCAGCACGGTGTGTCTGTAATGGGAATCACATCCTTGGACTATTGTCATTCCCTGTGCCATATACCGCTAGCCTGTTTTTCTCCCACTCTGTTTATTCTGTATTTTTCATATACACTTTTTTTTAAATTATTATCCTGCCAGATTACTGTAAAAAATGTACACTCCTTAGTTTTTTCTATCCTCCATTTTATGAATAAGTGTTCATTTCAAAAGTCACTCACATATAGATGTGCTGCTCCTAGGGAACTGTGTAATTGGTTTCACAGAGACAAGGGCTTGTCTGCTTTATAAAATTTAGTAATACATCACTACTGCATAACAACAGGTATCCCTAATAGGATATATATAGATAGTATAGTGTGTGTGTGTGTGTGTGTGTGTGTGTGTGTGTGATATATATATATATATATATATATATATATATATATATATATATATATATATATATATATATATATATATATATTGCACACGAATTCCACATACATTTTGTTGTTTTTCATTGTGTAGCTATTGTAAGCACTTGATCTTCCTGAAGCTGTTACTTACATATGACTGGGTCACCTTCATTTAATGCCATTAGTGTCTACTGTACTGTCTGGGTAAGACTATTGTGTCTGGTTCTCTAGAAGCCTCTTTTGCATTAGATCAGATTTAAGAAGTGTTAACTCCTGTATTGCCTCAACTAATACACATGTAGCTGTGTGGTTTTTCTGGGTCCACAGACATATTGACTTTGTCTTGCTCATATAATCTGGAAGTATGACACAAACTGATATATAGTTATTGGGGATCTCGAGATCAATGAACCGTCACAATGTAGAATTTATTTCAGCAATAAACTCTCATAGGACTCTGTAAACTGTGGGTTTAATGAGTGATTCTGGCTTGGAAATGAAATATATAATTGTTTGTGCTTGCAAATGATATTCCATAAGATTCTGTACTTTTATAGGAAGTACTAGGACTAGGCCTGGGGGAACATTTCTAACAAACTAGCCTCTATGAGAACAAATAGACTTTTAGGCTCCGCTCTTGCAAGAAAGGTTTTGCTCACTTGTACCATTCTAGTGGAAGCTATCATTTGCATATCAGCCTGGTCCCACCTAAAAGGGTAATCCATATCTGAAACTCCAGTGAGGCACACGCTTTATGAAAGATACAGAAATGTCAGCCTTTGGGCCTCATCAGTGAGATGTAAATGATACAATAAAGGCAAAGGAGTCTGGGTTACCATTAAGAATTAGGGAGATGACACGGAGACTAACGTAAATATCAGTGATTAACTTTAACAGCCATGTAAATGTTCCTAATTGGTATGGTGGAATTCATATGTTTGTTACTTGTGGCCTTTTTGTTTATTTGTTATTTTTATACCCATGTTGTATGCCTCCATCCATTTAAAAATTGCTGCATCAGCCAGCTTCCTTCTCTTGATTTAAGATAAAATGCAAAAGTTGTGCCTGCGGAAGCTCAGATCTCCCGGCGTGATGCTCTGTTGTGCAATGCTGGTCCTCAGGATGAGGGTGCAAGAATATGATGTAGTTGTATGTGGACATATTGAGGATTATCTTCTTGATCTCACAATAGGTCTCTCTTACAGGCTTTTCATAGTGGGCCAACAGTGGCACAGATCTTGTTCTCTTCCAACTAGACTATCATAGGGTATCTGCATACTTATTCCTAGCCACTGGTAATGACAGATGACCACAAAACACAGATGCAAACTGGTGGCAGAATAACAAATGGTCTTCTCATTTTACCATTTTTTAAAAAAATTTTTTTTAATTATTCACATTTTCTTATGCCCATATTTGGGGTGTTTAACTTGAGCATGGAGTGTCTCTTTAAAAGTCACATTGCAGGCTTTATATATAACTTGCATGAGTAGTTCTATACATATTTTTCAATTTTAAGGGTAAAACCAACATTTCATGAATGAAACCACTCACTACCAGGTCTTCAGAGTGATTTACTGCTTCACCAGAAAGCTGAGAGTTGTACTTATTATCCCGTGAGGATAAGCAATGTAGCTGCCCCGTGATTCGCACCAAAAGGGATTTTCAGAAGTATCATCTTTTTAATGTGAATATTGCACATTGACAAAATAAATCTATCCGTATAATCTATCTACACAGACTGCTAATGTCTATGTGATGGTAGTATATTGAAAATGCAGTGCTTTTCGAGTGTTCCTGGTTAAGTCCTTGTGATAATTAAATGAGGATTAATTAGTTAATCGAAGGTGAAGGCTGATTTGTAAACTGACTTGAAATATGACCTCTTTGTATCAGACATCTGGTAGAGCAGAGTATTGAAGTTGGATTGAACCATATCATGAAATCATGTGATTTCTTTGTTAGAAGCTGCTGCATTTTTCCATCTGTTGGTTCTAGACAGTAACTTAACCTCTTTGTTTTAGCTTTTTTTGCATTATTTCAAGGGCAACCTTTTTGTGTTGCAGCTCTAGTTACTGTTAAGTGACATTTGTAGAGCGTATTCTGTTTTAACTGGCGTATAGCCCCACCTTTAAATTACGTCCATTATTTTGGCCCTGCATATAATATTTGTGTGTGCTTGTCTTCTGATCTGCCACTGTCTACATTAATGTCAATCAATATTCCTATAATATGGTACTTTGTAGTGGATACCGTCCCAGGAGTGCCTTGACACTGGTTCACGGTAAGTAGTCAAAATGGTTTTTAGTATGGTTTGACAACTTACCTTTCCACATAACCTGCATTTGGTCTTTACCTGCAGGAGAGTCTGGTCTATTGAATAAAGCAGGGCCATGTAGGACCATGCTCTTGACTGAGAGCATCAACTGAGTGCTTTCAACCAATGAGTGAAGTCCCGTATTGGCCGTGCCTTATTCTACAGAGACCTTTCTTCTACTGAAGATTGGGTGCAATTTGTACACTCGGGAGACCCAAGCAAACACTCAAATTTGTTTGATTACCAACAGTGGAATAGTGACAGGGCACTCTTAGTACCAGCACCACAAAAACAGACTGTAGTGGATATGGTTCTTGGAATGTAAAAAAAAAATTACAAAAAATACAAAAGCGTATGCCATACTATAGTTGGCAGCAATATTAGTAAAAAAAACAAACAAACAAAAAAAAAACTGACTTCAGTCACTGTACGCTAACATTTTGTCACACTTGCTGGGCACAATAGTATAAGCATGTTGGTTCTCTGGGAAATGATCTTCTTCAACTTTCTATGGTGCCGACTGCCGAGCTATAGGAGATTATGTTGCATTTCCACTACTTTTGCGTGCTGTTTTGGAATATGTATGTGTATGTTTTAACATTACAATCTAATGTAGTTGTTCTGGTGACTATAGTGTCACTTTAAGTGCAATATTATGCATTGCGTATTTTAAATGTTTACGTTACATGGTTATTCTTTTAATAGTTTAATTTGTTTTTTTATTCCTTTATATGTAGGATATGGTCAACAGTAAGTATCTAACACATTACTGTCCCTCTCTATGGTCTGTTATCTTAATGAACCATGTAGTCTGGGTTATCTGTTAGAAACATTTTCTTTCCAAGACAAGTAACTCTCATTTAAACATTTGAATATTTAGGCCTCAATTTAATATTGTTGGATAAGCTTTTATAATGATGATGATGATGGATAGATAATATATTTTTAAAGTTTATCCAAAAATATTAAATATTTTTAAAAGCTTATCCAGCAATATTAAATTAAAGCCATAACCTGTGATGCCCCACACAGTGTTTTACCAACTACATTAACCATGTAGACCAGAATGTCTCAAAAACTAGACAAAATGTTGCCCATTCTGTTTACCTTTCACTTTAATGAGCCTCAAAACCTCAAGAAGCACATTGTACCACAAGCAGATAGTCTCTCAATAATGAAGTGATGCCTTCACTTGGGTTACTTGGTTCTTCTTATTTATAAAGCGCCTAGCAATTCAACAGCACTGTACATTAGATTACACCTGGATGCAGAACCTTGCTAAAATGGAGTGCTATGCCTTGGCCTGATTAAATAGAAACCTGGAGGTTGGAATATCTCTGGCTTTCATTCTCCCAATTTTGGGTCTGTTTGGATGTGTCCTAGCAGTCTGGGAAATTCAGGGAAAAGTAGCCAAATACAGAGGCGTGTCTTAACTAATCCCGTTTTAAACCTGCCTTATACCCCCAGGTCACAGAGTGAGCAAAAGGACATTTGCTAGAAAAGCCATTTTCCTTGGGATAGAGCCTGTAAAATAACATTGGAGGACCTGCATCCTGGTGTCCCCCTCCAGCCAAATTACTGGAGGGGCTATATATATCTATCACTATTTTACCATCAGGGGGATCTAATCTCATTACAGCTCTTTGGTTGGTTTGTCATTCAACCAATCAAATCACAAACAACAAAGATAGTGTGCAGCGCAAAACAAAGTGATGCCACTTTGAGGGGTATTCCAGCGCACATACCCAGCAAAGGTAGAGGAGCTCCGTTGGCATCACTTTGTTTTGCGCTGCACACTATCTTTGTTGTTTGTGTTTATTTTACTGTGGGATTTTTGTGATTATTCCCACTTAGTGTGTTCTAGCTGCTGTGTCTAGCGCCACGGTTTATACTGTTTGCCTTTTTTCTCTAACCAATCAAATCACTTTGACAGGTAAGTCTCCTTTCACTCTAGACTTGCCACAGGAATATTCCCAGGCAAGACTTGAGAGAAGTGAGATTTGCCTGTCATATACAAGACACTCTGTGTACTCTACAGAGATTTCATAGTGTGAGAACTTTTTAGAATGGCTTTTGGGGTGTAACGGAGCTCCTCTACCTTTGCTGGGTATGTGCGCTGGAATACCCCTCAATGTATTTTTTTTTTTTTGTTTGTTTTTTAAATTTTTTCTTTTTTTCCTTAAAACTGTCATGTGGTAGCTACTTAGTCACAAAACCTGGCCAAAGTGCTCATATTTGTTAGTTTTCATAATTTTTTTTTTTTTTTTACACGAAAACTGCACTTTCACTGATGATATCAACATCACTATACGTTTTACTGCTCTTAATTATATAACCTTGTGTGTAATAATCTCAGCCAAGTAGGCAGAGCAGGGGCGGAGTCAGCTGCGGCAAGACCTGCACGGTGCTGGAATAAAGGTAAGTTTTATACTTTTTTAACCTGGGCAAGGGGGGGTTGGCTTCTTAAAATGTGTTTTTAACCTTCTAGTGTCAGGAATACCTGTTTGTATTCCTGACACTATAGTGTTGCTCTAAGTGCCTTCCACTTTCAGTTCCATAGTTGTCTCCAGATTTTATATTTTTTTTTACAATTCTAAAATTTGTAATTTCATTCGAGATTTGTTTTCTGCTACTCACGCAATGAAGATGGATCATTTTATGAGTAGTTGTGATGCCCAGCATATTTGTGGGTGGATAGTACATTTGTAAACCTTTACCAACGATATATAATAATAAAGGTAAATTCTGTCACATTTAGTTTCCCGTCCAGAACATAGTTTGTAAAGAGGGTCTGCACTCATGGCCTTCTTCCCATATAAAACGGTCTATTCCTTTACATTTGCATTACAAATTGCATAAAATGTTATCCCAGTGTTGGCTTTCCTCAGGACAGCATATATAATGTCATTTTATTAAAAAAAAAAATTTCCTTCCGTAAAAGCAAATATTAAAATAAACGCACCTAGGTTGAAAACTGGAGGAAAAATAAACAGGAGTTAAAAGTACAACTGCTACTTTCTTGGTCAGTTTGGCCAAACACTTTACATTGCTATCAGCACTAAGTTGTACCAGTTCTGCACACATAATCTGACCCTGGTAACTGTTGTACTATTCTTTTGTAGCTTTAAAAAAATAAAAAAAACATAGTTCAAATAGACCAAATCTATTTACATGGCCTTGTATGTTTGATGTCCAACATTCAACTAGTGTTGACGAAAATCAGACACAAACAAGTATTGATGGAGCTTTGTTTCCGTTTGTGTTGCTAAGGTGTGCACGATCTGGCCTTTTGGTACAGCTGAGAATAGATGTGAGTCATCTTAGTGTGAAACTGCAGTAAGAAGTGTTGCTTCTTTCTCTTCAAATGGTTTGCTGTAAGTCTCTATTCTATTTGTGATCACTGATGTAAATATATTGGTATATTTCCTTCTTCTGAATTCTTTTAGTCGACTAAATGCTATATTTATTAAAAGGAACCACTTAATATTAAAATATATTTATTTTTAATGTCTGTTTAGAGTACTACGATAAAATAGAAATCCTGGATTTAGAAATCTGAGAAAAAGTTAGCTTATAAACTAAAACCTTCCCCAATGTGTATCTTTCCACTAACCATTACAGTTCTCTCCTCTCACCAGTCATGTTACCTGGTAGACTCACTGCTTAGTTATGCCATCTTTCTTAAGGAAGGATCATGACTATGTGTCATAAGTCATTAGTATCCTAAATTTCCTTACGTGGTGTGACTAGCTCCCTCATATGTTTACATTGTTATAGAATGCAATGGCTTCATTGTCCCATCCCACCACCCTTCAATGTGTCTTAATTGTGTGGGTCAAAATATGGCGCCCTGACCAATGGGATTTAATTATGTTGAATGATCTGAACTGGTCATTAGGGTCATACTCTAGAATAGGGGTAGTCAACCTTTTTTTTTTTTTTACCTACCGCCCACTAATGCATCTTTCTTGATGGAAAAATGTCCTTACTGCCCACCAGTTTTTGCGCAAGTGCAGAATATTTTTTAGAAAGGAGGGTGTTTAATGAATGTTTATAGTGTTTTTAACTTTATAAAGTTTAACGAGAAAATAAAGTAAATTGAAATTTCCTTTACTAGGGATTAATGAGATCTTTGAGGTTGATGCTGCGAGACTAAATATTTGATATCTGGTTCAATTTTCGTAAGGAACATACAAAGGTCTCCTCTTTCGGTGATATTCAGACAATTTCTCTGTTTGCTCATAATGATTTCTCATCTGTGCATCAGCTCCCCTCCCCACCTTTTTTCCCCTTTTTCCTATTTTTTAACCTTCGTTATAGCAATGCCCAGCAGGAAGGCTGAGCTAGGTAGCCCATTTATTATTATTATTATTATTATTATTATTATTATTATTATTATTATTATTATTATTAGCCAACAACAATTTTCGCCTTTTGCTTCTTTCTCCAATGCTACAAGTACTCTGCTCCTTCTTTCTCCAATGCTACAAGTACTCTGCTCTTTCATTCTCCTATTTACAAGTACTCTCCTCCTTTATTTATTCTATCCTCTTTCTTCCTTTTTTAATTTTTTTGATCTTTTCCTTTTTATCTCCTTTTTTTTTTTATGCTTTTCTTTTACTTTCCTAAGGGCAATGTACAAAAGTAAGGCTGATGTATGGTGGGTAGGGGGGCTCTATAGTGGATAGAGGGACTGTCTGTGAGGTGGTGGGCATATGAATGGTGGGTAGGGGGCTGTAAAAAGGTAAATACCTTTCAGTGTCCTCTTGGTTCAGTGGGCAGCTTCCCAGCAGCTTCCTAGTAACGTGTGTGTGGGGCGGAGCTTGTGGGCAGGAGGCGGAGCTTCTGTTTGGGGCAGGGCATGCGACTGAAATGATTTTAGACTATGCAGGGAGACTGATGGGTCTTCCTGCAGCTGTTGGCAGTCACACCAGCCCCCAGCTCCTCCCTCCCTCCCCTTGGACTGACAGGCTGGCCCAGTCTGAGGGGAGGATTTATCAGAATGATCATTAGGGCTGTCGCCCCAGCCCCAGCTGGACCAGTCCCGCCCTGCCACCCACTCTCTCAAACGGAGGATTTAGCCACCGAAATCCCTACCGCCCACCTGGAATCCTGAAACGCCCACTAGTGGGCGGTAGGGACCAGGTTGACGACCCATGCTCTAGAAAATGGGAAATAATGTTTGATGTTTAAGCTGTATGTTTTGTGGTTGTCATGGAGATAGATTTTATTTATCTTGCCAGTGTTAAATCCGAAGCTCTCTGGTGGCCTGCATGTGGATGCGGTTTGGGAGGGGCGGATGCTCTTCCCGCTGTTATTCCTGCCGGAACATGTAGTGGCGGTTAGGGTTCCTGTCTACCATGCATACATCCACAACACAAGCCCTAATGGAGACAACCATGCTCCGATTGGATGCAATTTTTGCCTAATTTTGGGAGAGTCTGGAGCATAGGCTGAGCCAACCTGTGGAGAATCCTCTGAGTGTCAGCACAATATGGAACTCACCTCCTGAGCCTCACCACTTCACCTCTGTCTTGACCCGGCGGTACACTTTGGCTCTCCCATGCATGCTACCAATGTCTCGTCCGGCACTTACCTAGATCCCAGAGTGACTGGCACTCGCCTCCACTCTCTCAGGCTGAGGGCCTTGAAGGAATCTACCCTGATGCATACCAAACAACCCCAGAGGGAATGCCAACAATTCTCCTGGGACTTTGTTCTTGGTGTTCAGAGTTTCCGGAACAGCGGACACCGTGTATGGGCCCTCACTGCAGCCTGGGGCCAGCGGTATGGACCGTGCTGAATAAATGAGACATTATCTGGTGGTGGGGGCTGGAGACCAAGCATAGGTGTTGGATAAACTACTTGATACAGGGTTTATGCATAGGGTGCAAATTGCAATTACACCTAGAGCTTATAAGATCAGATACCTCCTATGTGTACTCTGCTGTTGATTTCAGTCTGCCGGATTACCTGATCCACCCTCCCACAGTCTACCTTGAAGGTACACCACAGTTACCTGTCTAGCTTTACAAAGCTCATTTTATTTTTCTTAAGTTTATTTGCATTTTACATGCTGCAGCATAACCCTGCTACATTGCTCTTTTAAAGCCACATTGGTGTTCCACCTGTTACTAGCTGTTGGGCATCCTCTTCCATGTTTATGCTTTGTGTATAACATGCTTCCATTATAAAGAGGCAAAATTATATTCTCATGTCGAGAATTAATGCCTTTTTTCATGCATAACAATACTTTACTAGCCTTAGCCACTGCTGATTGACATTGCACATTGTTGCATAGTTTGTCTATAACAATTCCGAAGTCCTTCTCGTGTGTTGTCATCCCTAATTAAAGGTATACATCGCTTGTGCATTCTTTATGCCGAAGTGCATAACTTTGCATTTTTCTACGTTAAATTGCATCTGCCATTTAAAGGACCACTCGTTTTCCTGGCACTATATAGTCCTTAGGTCCCCCCCACCCTCAGGGCCCCCTTCCTGATGGGCTCAAGGGGTTAAAACCCCTTCAGCCACTTACCTTAATCCAGCACCGGGCTCCCTCTGCACTGGTGACCCCTCCTCCCCCTCCAACGTCAGCTCCCGAGTGGGAGAACATCAATGCTTTCCTATAGACGTTCTGCGTGCTCAATGTGACTTTCGCATAAAGTGTCACGGACGTGCCTCTAGCAGCTGTCAGGAAGACAGCCACTAGAGGCTGAGTTAACCCTGCAATGTAAACATAGCAGTTTCGTTTCCGGTTGCAGGGTTAAAACCTGGGGAACCTGGCACCCAGACCACTTCATTGAGCTGAAGCAGTCTGTGTGAATACAGTGGTCCTTTAAGTGCCCAGTCCCCCAGTCTATCTAAATCCCTCTGCAGCAAAGTAATATCTTGCTCACGTTATATTACTTTACAGAGTTTTGTGTCATCTGCAAACACTGAAATATGACTTTCAATGCTTTTTTTTTTCAAAGATCATTTATAAACATATTAAACAGAAGGGGTTCCAGCACAGAACCCTGAGGTACACCACCAGTCACCTCTGCCCAGCTTGAAAATGTACCATTAATGACAACTCTGTACTGTATATTTTTTTTAGCCATTGTTCTACCCAAGAACAAGAATTTTCATCTAGACCGATTTCCTTGAGTTTGAACACTAATCTATTGTGTAGAACTGTATCAAACGCCTTGGCAAAATCCAAATAGATCACATCCACAGCAACACCCTGATCTAAACTTCTACTTACTTCTTTGTAGAATGCAATCAAGTTAGTTTGACATGACCTGTGCTTCATAAAACTCTGCAAATTTTTACTGATAACCATGTTCTTCTCAAGGAATTCTTGAATATTATCCCTTAATAACCTTTCAAATACTTTCCCAGCCACAGAAGGTAAGCTCACAGGTCTATAATTTCCAGGCAAGGATTTTGAACCCTTATAGGAACCACATCGGCCTTCCTTCAATCCTCCGGGAACACTTCCTAAAAGTATAGAATCTTGAAAGATTTAAAAGAGGTTCACTTATTTCCACGCTTTGTTACTCAAGTACTCGTGGATGAATACCACCAGGCCCTGGAGCTTTCTTTATATTAACTTTCTTTAGTTGCTGAAGCACCTTGTCTTGGGTTAGCTAACTGCAATTTTTCTGCACGTTTATTTTACATCACATCATCCCCGAGTCAAGCACCATAAACCTTAAATCACGCTGTATATAGCTATTTAAGTAGTCTACCTGTTTTAGAACAGGCTTTGACATCTTACCTGGTATCCACAGGATCTCAGGAGGCTGTATTGACGGAATAGAGCGGTGCCCTGCGTACTACAGGTAATAAGTCAAATAGCTTGAGTTCTTACACTATAGCGGTTATGGTGCTGTGAGTGTTTCTTGAAATGAGTGGGCTGCTTAGCTTTTTACAATAGCACTCTGAGCTGTAAAGGACATATAGGTATAGTCCTGCGTGTGCACATGTTCTCTCAGCATATCTCTTTAAGGCTGTAGAAGCTCATTTGCTAGGTGTTGGCATACACTGTAGAAAGATATTGCCTCCCGTCACTCTCCAGCGTGATTTACCCTGTTTACAAAATGTTTGCTAGTTTCTGGGGTCCAAGCAGAGACATCTCTCACTGTGTTCCTATACTCCCCTTGCAATTGACCACACTTGCTATTGGAGTAATCACAGCAATTACTGTACTGCTGTTGATGTAATGTAGAACAGGAAAAGTGCTTGTAGGAGGGTTCTCAGTATAGACCTGTCTGTCATTGTCATGAGATTGATTGGTAGGTGAGGGTAGGGACAAGATTTGTAGGAAACAAATGAAACAATGCTTGCATTTTTTTTTATTTTTTTTTGCTTAACATATTCTTAAAGGGGCACTCCAGGCACCAACTGAAAATTTAAGCAGCTGGATGCTGCTGGGGGAAGAGTACATTGGCGCTGGAGGCAACTTTGGAGTTAAACCATTTTGAGAATGGTTTAACCCCTTGAGGTAAGAGTGCCTCTGGGTGTCTCCTGGTACCATAACTTAATTCAGATGTAGTTGTTTTGGTGCCTGGAGTGTCTCTTTAAGCGTCATGATTTTGGCTTGACTCTCTTTTAAAAATATGTGAGCAAGACACCATCTTGTGCATGTGTTTAAAGAAACTTACTCCAAATCTATTATACATTATGTGACTCAAGGATAGATATTAACATTCTGTATTAATGCTCAGAGTGACAGATGATTTTCTGAAGATAATTACAGATCTGTTTACTACTCAGCCAAATAGTTTGATTCCTCTGGCTTTGGTTGAAACACAGCAGGGAGGCTTGATTATAACTCAACTTTGATTTAATTCAACACAAAGAAAAGCTAAATTAAAGTAATTGATTTGTATAAAAACTGAATGAAAATGCTCGTATGGCTTGCGAAAAAAATAAAGGCTTGGCTGATAAACCCCTTCCAAAATAGATAGTTTAAGGTTTAGTTGACAAGCAAAAAAGTGAATAACATTTCTTATTTTGTTTTAATATTTATGCAGTTTTAAAGGACCATTCTGGCGCCATAACAACTTCATCTCTCAACGGCACTGTTTCTTCGGCCCCTGTGCCTCATTCGGACTATGTTCTCAATAAGGAATCTTCTCAGTAAGGTAGTGATAGGCTATCACTAGTCTCCTATTGAGAATAATGATTATATTAAGATGTGGTTTTAATGGTCCCTGTTGGCAAATAATAATATTTAACCAGGAAAGGTACATTCAGATTACTCTGGTTTTCAAGTACGTCCTGGGGATGTTACCTTAGCCCAACATCCAGGGGTTGTTACTATTACCCAATTTAATGGTACTCCTTTTATATACCTCGGCAGGATGAAGATTCTTTTGATCATGCACTAGCCCACTGAGCTATCTCACCGACTATAATGTTGATTAACAATTTGTGAATCAACATTAGAGCTGGTGAGGACACCAGCATACTTTGGTAACTACTAAGGCTAGATAAAAAAACAAAAACACAAAATCCTATTGATTTACAGGCGTGTGTGGATTCAATTTTGCTAACTGGACTGGATAAAACCTTCCCCCAAGAAGAAGAAAAAAAATGTTTATCCCCATCAATAACAAAATAGTGTTGTTTTAAAAAACCACTCAGGGCACCATAATAGCCTCATCACAATTAAGTTATGGTGTGAGGAGGTCCCAGGCTGTGACTTACCTTAAGCGTTTATACTGTTTACGAGTGTTGCCTCCCTCCCCCAAACTTTTGAAGATGGAGCCTTTTTGCTTCAATGAGCAACTCCCTCCTGAAGCTCATTGAGCAGGGCCCTCAACCCCTCTGTTCCTGTGCATCCAACTTGTCTGGTTACAACTACATGTCTGTTCGTCCACCCATTGTAGAACGCTGCAGGATTTTTTTTATAAATGATAATAATCCTAAACTTTAAACAGCAAACCTCGAACTTGGTGCCACTGAGAGTTTGGAAATGGTCCATGCAGTCTAACTGCACCATAACCCTTTCAATTTGAATGTAGTGGTGGTGGTGCTCAGACTGCTTGCTTTATGAACAAACAATGTGTGCTTGTTTTGCTGTCCTTAATATGTCCAAAATAAAGACTTCCCATTACGTAGTTTTCAGTTAAACATCACTTTGGAGTAACGATTTCAAAACGTTACATGCATGAAACTCAGTATGACTCAAGGATAATGATTGGAATGCTCTAGAGATGTACGTGCCAGATGACTTTTCAATGATGATTACTTCTGTATTTACTACTAAGGAGTCTAGCTTTGCACCTTGACTTTATGCTGATTCTCACATGGGAGGATTTTAACAGATATGAAAAACTTGATTTTCCTATAACTTTGCGCTAACCCTAACAGATATAAAATATTGACTTCTTTTTTTTTAATTTTTATATTTATTAGATATTTTAGATAAGACGTACAGAAAAAACAATATCAAAATGCAATACTTTTGTAATCACCATATGTCATTAATCCCATTGTCTCTGTTGTTTAAACCCAAATTAAACAATCAAACTTAATCCTGAGCCTCATAAGTCATATCGTATTGCAGCATATATAAATAGACAGACAAAAAAAAAAAGAAAAAAAAAAAAAAAAAAAAAAGACAAAAAGCGATGGTCACAAGCCTTGAAATAGTAATCAAAATAAGCAGAAATAGGTTCCCATTGGAGATATATATATATATATATCTCTATCTCTTTCAATATTTACATCCTAGGTATCCAAATGTATTAGCTCATAGGAGGAGGGAGAGACGGCATAGGCAGGAGTACCACCTCTTGGGGCATATAATAACCCTATCCATATAGTCTTCCATCCATATTTAGTTATTGGCAGGGGATCCCTCTCCATTTTTAATTGAAAATAAATTTGTGGTTTTAGTTTTACCCACATTGGGGGGTCCTTCTGTTGCCAGAGGTTAACAATACATTTTTTCGCAGCTATCAGCGTATGGGTAAAAATATTGACTTCTAAGATGCCTAACATTAAAATACTTGCATTACTTCGTGGAGTATGGTCATTTGTGGCATGGATTGGGGACTTTGATTTTCGTACATAGTGGTTTTCAGATCAGGGAAAGAAAGATAGAGCTACAAATGATAAGATTTAGAACACAAATCTGAATAATACTCTAAAGATAAATATCATTTTATCTTATCAAAAATACATTCTTTTAGGTTTTTGACCGATCTCCGAATATAGTTTCTTCTTATATTTTTATGTGAATTAACGGACTGGAAATAAGCCCAGTCTTTGCTTAATTGTGGTAATGTTTGAATGCTAGACTTTATTCCTGTTTCATGGTACACCTTTATGTAGGATATGAATGAGTCAATTCTTCCTACTTGACAAAAGGATTTTCTGCATTGTTTCAATAACTTTTTATTCTAGGTCTTGCATCATTTTTTAATTTCTGTCACATCATGTTTGAACCTCTCCCTAATAGTTATTACTAATTCATGTGGCATGTCATCCCTATTGTGAACTGGTTCTTGAGCTGTGTAGTCACATGATGTGATTGTTTAAAATATGTGATTTTACCTCCATACTTTAACACTCATCATTAATATAAGTTATATCCGTGTTGGTGTGTTTTATTTTCTTTTCTATTTTGAAATGTGCTAGAACAAAGCCATCATAATTGGTAGAGTATTGTGAATGTTTAGCTTAAAATGTGGCCTAAAGTTTCCAGACATATTTTCAGTAATTATGACAAACAATTAAGAATTTAATGAAAAAGGAATGTTACGTATGGATAAGGGGAAGGGATGAGGGGAAACCCACTGCAAGAGCAGTGCTAATTAATGAGGGAGTTTAATTGATCTGCAATTGCCTTATGGACAGTCACGGTGATATTGCTAAGGAGCTTTTGTGAGTGGGTGGGGATACTGTCAATTGGTGAGACAAAAAAAAAAAGACTAGGGTATCTGCTCAGTGGGTCTTTGTCAGGCTTAGCAAATTGTTCCTATGTTCAAATGGTATAATGCAGGGATAGGTCTATCACATGGGGATATAAGCATGTTTGCGGCGGCAGTTCCTCCAAGATAGTTCTGTAGTCAATTTCTCCATAACACTCGAACTAGAATATGAGAACTCCTGAAAACAGACACAAGCTTAGAGCAGAGGTAGGCAACCTATGGCACTCGAGCTGCCTTTGCACGGCACTTAAGGCTGCTAGAGCCAAACAGGCTCTTGCCTATCAGGAGTCCAGTGAAACTTCAGATATCTGCTAATACAAAAAGGTGGTGAGGGACATTCCTCAATTTATACATTGCAGCACATAGAGTAATTGATCTCCGATCACTTAATTGCAGCACTTGTAAATGGCAATCCACACTGGAGTAGAGCAGCCCGCAGCTGGCATTTTGTATCTGGACTGCCCTTATGGGTGGGATTAGTCTGATATGCCTTGGAACTGGTTCTCTCTGTAATGGCACAAGTGAGGGAAAAACTATTGACACCTGAGCGGAGATTTATCGAAGGGCAGCTACTGAGTTCCTGTAAGCTTTTGTATGTGTGTGTGTTTTTTTTTCTTCAGATTTTTGCTTTAATAAAGAAGATATACACTTTTACCAACTTAGACTGTGTTTTCTAACGTAGTTCAAGGGTCTACTTTCCCCATCTTGAATAACTTTGCAGGGGTAATTTTAACACACTGCTCCTGTGAAGTTGCTCAACCCAAGACCCTAGAAACTGCCTCCCAGATGTCACCATATATCTTACCAAAGCCACTTTGAGTCCTAGAAAGTGACTAAGGACTCTTTTCAACTTTTTTTTTTTTTTTTTTTAAATCATCATGTGTTACATATGTTTAGATTAATTTTGACCGGATTGCTTTAGTGGTTTCCCACTTCTAGGAACACAAGGGGCACATCGAAACTGTAACTGTTGAGGATCATTACTTACGGAGTAGTGACACTTAATCTTTAAATTTGTGCAAAGTCAAAACGTATTGCAGATCTTTGTGCCTTCTTTTTGGAGTAAGGGTGAAATTGGCACATTTTACCTTTTTTATAGATCCTTTTTCTTCACAGTTTGATTTTTAAGAGCTGCACATCATAACTGTAACTTTTGTACAGCAATGAGATTGTTCAGAAACTTGAGTTAGTTTAGGAATAGTGATGTCCCGAACGGTTCGCCGCGGACAGAAAACATAAACTTTGACCCTGTACCTCACAATCAGCAGACCCATTCCAGCCAATCAGCAGCAGACCCTCCCTCCCAGGCCCTCCCACCTCCTGGACAGCATCCATTTTACATTCATTGTGAAGCTGCATTCTTAGTGAGTTGTCCAGGAGGTGGGAGGGCCTGGGAGTGAGGGTCTGCTGCTGACTGGCTGGAATGTGACTGTGAGGTACAGGGTCAAAGTTTATGTTTATGTTCGCTGTCCGCGGCGAACCGTTCGGGACATCACTATTTAGGAACCATATATGCAGAACCGGCATTGCTAACAATGAGAAATTGAAAAATTGACTAGAGCACAGTTTACCTCTTTGCCTTGTGTGAATTACGTATCCATTTATTGCAGAGCCATTCTTCATTGTATTTTGGTGTCTACATTGTTAAATGTAAAATAAAAGTCTATTCATGTTTTAACTAGATATATAATTTTCCCTCCAGGATGAATGTTTGTATAATTCTAAATGCCTACTCTTAATCCCTCTGGCTAAAAATGCTAAATTATAAGTAAATTGGGCTATTATAAAACTCCTCTATGGAAAGATAATCTGTATTCTCAATCTCCATTATAGGAGATGTTGTGTTTAAAGCATGCAGATGAGACTTTGTTACTTACATGAAAGTTTACAATAGAACCAAAACTTACAATAAAATGTATAGTTTGAAATATATACAAAAAGTATACACAGTATAGGCAGATCTGTAGGGGGGGTCTTTGCATATTTTTCAAAGACCCTCAAAAGTGGCAGATCTGGTGTGAGTCCATTTCTGCAGGGAAAGTAAGTTTCTCATTAGCCTCAAGCTGTCCCCCGTGGCCATAGCCATCTTGATCTTGCAGATACCCTTCAACTCCAGCTTCAGGAGTCGCATCAGTGCTGTAACACTGAGATCTATGGAGAATCCTGTGAGACCGCAGGAGCCTCCATAGCTCGATGACTGAATCCCACAGCCATCACGTGTGACGGCTGCTGGGATGGAGCAAAAATATACCATAGAGTTCTGCCTTTTCTTTGAAACTGCTATGTTTACCTCTGAAGGGTTAAACCTTGGGGGACTTGGCACCCAGACCACTTCATTGAGCTCAAGTGGTCTGGGTGACTGTAGTGGTACTTTAAGTTTTAATAAAATTGATATGTTATATGAAATGTTTGAAGAAACACTCCACACAAAGCATTTCAACTTAGTGAAGTGCTTTATATGTCTGGAGTCTGTCATATTAATGACTGTTTATAAAATTGCAGATTTCAATAGAAATCTTAATTTTTATAATTGGAGGCAGAAACTACTCCATGGCTGTTACTCCGATAATCAGGGAGGTTTTCTACCTCTTCCATTGGCTCCAGGGAGCAAACAGAATTGGCAGTCGTTAGGGGCTAGTGCGTACCTACTCCCACTTTAAATGAGTGGTTTTACTGGTTCTTGAGAAGCATAGGAAAGCTGTTGAAGTATTTAAAAAAAAAAAAAAAAAGTTCTACTATTAGTAAACGATATGTCTGCCCTATTATTTGGCCAAATGTTATCTGCAATCCCTCTAAAGGGTAATTCCAGAGCAACATTTGGTGCAGTTGTGGCCATGTGGTAACCTCAGCATGTGCAAGTTATTTACAAGTGTTCTTTGCATGTCCAGTGCCTGTTTGTAACTGTGTCATGTTGGCGTGCATATGTGTTGGCACCGTTTATGTACAAGGAAAATCCCCCTGAGACACATGTATCAGACACAAAATCCAATGTTGCAGTGTGCGTTGCGGACATGAATCCTTCAGCCACCATAGTCCCTTTAAAAGCAGAGTGAACTATTCTTGGTTTTTATTTTAATAGAGAGCTGACATCAAATTTGTTTAGTGCAGCATTTTGTACAATAATTCACAGTGCCCTCGATTAGAGGATACCACAGAAATGTCCTTTAGAAAGGTTAGAACCAAAACATCTAACTTAAAAAAAAAAAAAAGAAAATTTCCCTTCCACTTGCACAATCAGACTTCATTCACCCTCTTATTTTCATCGGTTTCCAAGTTGCATGAAGTAAATGCTGAGCCTCGGGGTTGACGCCTCATTTGAGGCTTTTTGGCATAAGCACAGCTAGAATCAGGATTACATTTTGTTAGTCGTCCACTTAGTTTCTGTCTGAGGGTTTTTTGTGTAAACCTGAATAAAAACGGTTTGTCGTTTTCACAACAATTTAAAGTAAATCTCTTAAGAATGAGTGCTACTGTTCCCCAAGCAGGAATGTAACCTAAAAAAAGCATTAACCAAACAAAACCTATTACAAACCACTTTTACGTGCATTAGTTTTCAATGAACGTAATATTTTCTGATACTTAAAGGGACAGTTCAGATTGAAAGAGAGTTCCCATTTTAATTATGCTTTACATGGATTATACTGTATAGAAATAGGTAGAAAGCCACAGGTTTCACAGTGTAGGGTGAAGAATCAAATGAACTTATTATATCCAAAGGACAAAACAAGGACACAACGTTTCAGCCATGAGGCCTGAATCCTCTATACTGCAGAGTGAGCACACACTATGTGGTTTCTTAAAGCTTTTATCTCCATGTTTGTCAATCTGTATAGCTCTTGATATTTTCCAGGCATTAGATGTACAAGCAGATAGCAGGGAGATGTTGATTAACCCATTATCTGCAATCGGCCGTTATGTGTGCCCCGGGCTTTATTAGTAGAGCTGGTAGATTTTCTTGCTCAAGTTAGGACTATGTTTGTTTTTAATTTGAAAAGCTGTTCAGTTTTGCACAAGTGAATAATTTTTGGTTGTTGTTTATTATATGCCTACAAAGTGTCCCAGATCCAGCAAAACTTCTACACTTCATGTTTTTGGGGCGTTTCTTTGGTCTCCCCAAGATCATCCATACTATGGGCAAACACTGCTGTCAAATGACACATACTGATATTCCCCTGTGACACAATGTACAGTGCTAAGCACAAATAGGAAAAGGCTGTAACATCAATAATGTAAGAACAATGTGGTATCCTATAGAGCAGTGATGGCGAACCTTTTTGAGCCCGAGTGCCCAAACCGCAATACATGCCAACTTTTTTTTTCCTTAAAGTGCCAACACGGCAAGTTAACCTCAATACTGAGGTTTATTTAGAAAAAACAACTCGTACTGTTGTCCGAACTAATTAACAACTTTTGTTTTAAAAGAACACAACAGAGAGTTCAATGATACAAATTTTAAATAATGATATAAATAGATAAAATTAGGCTTATATTTATTAGTATCTCCAACAAATGCAATACATACACACACACAGACTGCTGAATACATACACACAAGACTGCTGAATACAGAGACTGATGAATACACATACAGACAGACTGGTGAATACATACACACAAGACTGATGAATACAGAGACTGAATACACACACACACACAGTCTGCTGAATACACATACAGACAGACTGCTGAATACATGTGTGTGAGGGGTTGCTGTGTGTGTGTGTGTGTGTGTGTGAGGGGTGCTGGGCTGGGGTAAGGGTGCTGTGTGTGTTGTGAGGGGGGGAGTAGGGGTGCTATGTGTGGGGGGGTAGGGGTGGGGAGGGATGCTGGGTGGAGGGGAGCTGGGTGTGGGGGAGGGATGCTGTGTGGGGGTTGGGGTACTGTGTGTGGGGCTGGGGTAAAGGTGTTTTAAAAAAAAAAGTATGCTAAATCAGTATTCCCCCCCCCTCCTTCTTACCTTTAATGTGCGAAGCAGCTCCACAAAGCTTGCTCGCAGGAGGACAGGGGAGCTGCTTCACAGATCCCTCCCCCTGCCTACCGACACAGAAGCAGAGTAGGCGCCTGCCGTTTTGGGCAGGCAGGTGCCAACTCTGCATTGATGGTGAACCTATGGCCGCGTGCCCACGAAAAGGGCCCGGCATGCCACAGGTTCGCCATCACTGCTATAGAGGCTTCCCTATCATGCCAGAAAAGTGTGTCTGTGTATTAATATTACAATATTAAAACATAAACTTAGATACTTTACTTTGTAAACACACACAATAAATAATAAATACACAGTGAAAGAGACTTAAACCACTTTGTCCCTTGATAAAGGCTCCACTTCGGGTGCCAAAACGTTGGGGGTATAGGAATACTTGTGTCCAGCTATTTTAAGTAAGTGGTTGTGTATTTGTTTTGCTTATGTTTTTTTATTATTTTTATTTTATTGATTTTTATTATTGTGTTGGTTTGTTTACATAATAAAGTATCTAAGTTGTGTTTTAACCCTTAAGGACGGCGGGCGTTCTATGCCGTCGTTTTTGGGGTGGCTCTAAACGCCGTAGAGCGGCATAGAACGTCCCCGCCGTTCCCACGCTGGCGATCCCAATACTGGGGTCTGCCTGGGAGCTCAAGCAGACCCTCACTGCCCGATCCTGCCATCCTCTGCCATGTGATCGCGGGGTCCTCACGATCACATGGAAGGAATAGGAGGCTTATGCAGTGCCTGCAGAGGGACTGCCTGAGCTCTCAGGCTGTCCCCCTAATGCCTGCAAAAAAGGTTATAAAAGTTAATAAGTTTAATAACGTAAATAAAAGTACATGGAGTGTGTGTGTGTGTGTGTGTATATATATGTGTGTGTGTATATATGTGTGTGTGTATATATGTGTGTGTGTGTGTGTGTGTGTATATATATATATATATATATATATATATTCATATTTCATGTACTTTTATTTACGTTATTAAACTTATTAACTTTTATAACCTTATATATTTGTGTATGTGTGTGTGTGTGTGTATGTATATATATATATATATATATATATATATATATATATATATATATATATATATATATATATATATTATACACACACACATGATCTAAGTACTTTTATATTATACATAAACCATTATTCTAAGTAGATTTTAATGTGTGTGTGTGTGTGTGTGTGTATGTATAAATATATATAAAGTCCATGGTAAAAGATCGACGTTTCAGTTTGCAACCTAAACTTTCATCAGGATACGAGGTACGAGAATAATCGGGGTGTTTTTTTTGTTTTTGTTTCTTTTTTATTAACTTACCTGCTATAGAAATCTGTGATTCCCACTAAAGGGCGTAGAGGGGGAAAGAAAAAAGAAAAGGTAAGGGCTGCGCCAGAGGAAACTAAAATAACAAATAGTTCAGTGATATATAAAAATATAAATATAAGAAAGTCTTATCTAAAATAGCCTTGTCGTAATCATACAGTTTGTACGGGCTTGATCCAGAACGGTGGTGCTTGGGATAATCCTCAGTGGGAATCCGTAGGTATATGTAAAATAAACGCGAAACACGTTTATGGATATTATTCTGTGTATTTTTATATATTAAAAGTTTATTTGGTTACTCTCTATTTGTGCCATATATCTTTTTATACACATTTATTTTGTGACCTGGCATCCTCTCTACATCCCGGACTCCAAGCAATCCCAGGTGGGGATCATACCACCAGCACCTACGTTTAGGAGCAGTTGTTCTGCTCCCGTCTTGTGAGTACCTATTTTTAAGTTATTTTATTTTATATCAATACCCAGTGTACACTATTGGCTGTCTCTTTTTATCCGAGTACTGGACACACCGTCAACGGAGGAAGCTCACCGTACATCCTGTAAGCGGGGATCAAACCGCTGTACGCCTTCTATACCGGAGCGAGTTTTACGCTCTTGCAAATGTGAGTTTTATTTCAACTTTTTATTATCCTTTCAGTTCTAAGCATATTGCACTATTTGGGTCTCTATTTTTATTTTATTTTACATATACCTACGGATTCCCACTGAGGATTATCCCAAGCACCACCGTTCTGGATCAAGCCCGTACAAACTGTATGATTACAAGACTATTTTAGATAAGACTTTCTTATATTTTTATATATCACTGGAATATTTATTTTAGTTTCCTCTGGCGCAGCCCTTACCTTTTTTCAGTTCTATTCCTAAGGGTTCTTTGAGGGATTCCCTTATAGGGTTGCTGCCCATATATTAGTTAGCGCTTACTCATTGTTTTATCTTGTAGAGGGGGAAAGGCCTATACCTAATGATAACAAAGATGAGTCTGTATATGTTATGCTATTAGGGTTTTTAGAATTGGAACTCAACTGCAGCTTGTAGAACTCCTTAATTACAATAGTGAAGAAACGGAAAATCTTTAAATTATCAATACTGTAGCTTTAAGAAAAGAGAGGATTGCTGGCAATTAGAGAATCAAACGAAGTTTAAATGATTGTGATAAACTTAAGTGAAAAGCATATAGGTAATAATTCAATAAGAAGAAATTGCTGGTTATAGCAAACAATACAAAGTATTTCCTCAGAGATGTATTGAATAATATTCTTTAGGTTGATAGGAATAATCTTCAATAGAAATAGTATGCAGGTAGCAGAGAATATTTGCAAGGCAAGAAACAGTTCATAGTGGTTAAGCTTGATGGTAGTTATCCTCAATATAATTAGTGTGTATGCAGCAGAGAGGATTTGAGCAAGCAAGAAACAGTTCATTAATAACTGAGATTCCAGATAATAAATTGGAAGTTATACTTAAGATTAATGTGAGTTGTCCTCCAAGAGATCAGTATTAGAGTCCACTTGTTAAATGGTAAAGTGTCCGTTCTCTAGTAATCCTCTAGCGCATGAAGCATAATCCTTTTATCTTCAAAGGTTTAGGAGGGCTTGTGAGAGAAGCTTGTGGAGCCGGCGTCTATACCCGGAAGTAGGTCCCACAATCACCAAGCGCTTTCTCTCTGGCGCGGTCTCTCTAAAAAAACAAGACCGCCTACTTACTGAAATAGGATGCTGCTCTAAATTTCAACCTCGAAATCTGTAAAATACGATTAGACATGACTCCTATACGTTAGCAGGTAACCGTAGATCATGCAGAAAAGCATATGTAAAACATGCCCAAGGCGTATTGACTATCGTAACCCTTCTTGTAATTAGCATATCAAAGGTAATAACTGTTTTTAGAATTGAGAACAAGATCAAAGAGCTATTATAGAGAGAAGTAATATAGAACCAGCTATCCCCTAAACAATAATGATCACCGTATTTTAGATACTTATAAAGTGCTTACTAAAACTGTAACATGACATTACATTCTTAATCCAGAAATATAAATGTTCAAACACCTAAATAAAAGAAAACGCATTGTGTCAACCAACAGTTTAACCTACTATGAGAGTCTCTATTCCCATACAACAGTAAGCACAACTATACCAAATGTAATATTTAGTGCTGAATGCTAGAAGGCCACAAGCCAAACCTGTTTATGCTGTTCGTGCCGACCATGAAACCATGGCAAGGTATTGAGTAATATGCCAAGCTTTTGTAAGAGCAAAGGCGCGAACGTACTGGAATTGTTTAGCCTTAACTTGTGACCCTAGGCGAGGATTCGTTTGTAAATGAACAAACCCCACTCGAACCCCCCCTTTCACTGCAAATGAAGTGAGGGACACAAACGCTCTATACGGCAACAGAGCTTTCGTGTCTGTCTACCCATAACAACGTGCGACCGCAGTCGAGTGACAAAATACCGTTCATATGAACAGGCCACACAGGGGAGGCAGAAAGCCATCAAACAGATAACTTAAACATTTCAAAAGTGAAAGGATCAAACCATGAGAACGCCAATGGAGGGCGCTGGCTCGACTGTCAGCCCACAGGGTCGGAGGTCAGGCAGGAGCTTCAGGTTCTGAGTAGCAGCGAACAGGGGGATCCAGACAGCAGGAGACAGAAGCTTTCAACGAAAGGTAGTAGCGAGATGGTTTGTGGTAAATGTTTTTTTTTATTTATTTTTTTATTTCACTTGCAAATTTATAGCGTACATAGAACAGGTTTGAGCAAGTACTGCATCATTGCCTACGCAGAGGCTCTGTAAGTCTAGCAAGCATAGTGGTGCATAAGCCTATGCAGAGGCTACGGAAAGCATTACATTGCAGTATCATAGGCTTGTGTGTAGGGAGCATGCAATTAACGGGTCTCTTTGATGAATAGCCTATTTCTTAATAAAACATAGATAACCAAACGTAAAACAAACGTCCAATGTGTGGGGGTTACATACTGGTGATTAAACATTTGTAGGAAAGCGTAGCCGTCTGGGGCGTGGGCATACGGGCTTGGTCCCTTTTAAGGGTGGTGAAGCAAGCCGAGGTATCACTTCAGTCTGGTGTTTTGCACCGTTTGAGTTGGCTTGGGGGATCTGAATATCGGCTGTGCTATCCATCCAGGTGTTTCATTTGTCCCGTGTAATTGACTTCATTTCTGTAGGTATTGGCACACGGGGTGTTCCTGGGTAGAAACCCCCGTGGGTAGGTACCTGTATTGGGATGTGTGGGTCTCAGGGTCAAACCTGTAGAGTCCTGTCTAGATTACTATGTGATTGGGAGGAATTTATTTGTGTGTGTGTGATTCCTAAGCGTCTCAATGCCGTGGTCGCCACGGGTTTAGTCGTCTGAAACTATGGTATGCGGTGTAGTTAGGGTGTGTTCCCGTATTGGTGAGTATAGGGTGGTCGTTTCTGGCTTGGTGGGAGCCTATCTGTGCCAGGAATGTCGGGGAGTAATGTGTCTGCGTGGGTGCAATTCATGTGTCAACTCCCTTGTCGAAGGGGGGGGTCGAAAAAAAACAAGGTTAGTCCTATTGTGTGTCGGTTTCCCCTTAGATGCCCTATGAGGTGTGTCTCGATGTCCAGACGGGTCGTTTTCCGTCTGTGTGTTGTCGTCATGTAGGTCACAGAAAGTTGGGTAAGACCTGGTTCGGGTGCGTTGCTGTGAGTAGACGTAGGTATTTTTCCTCGTCTCGGGGTGGTGGTGTTGTGTAGGTTTTTTCCAGGTGAAGTGGCGAAATGGCGGTTTGTATCAGCGTGCAGATTGCCAGACCAATCACGGTAGAGTAGGCCAGGGAGGGGGTTCCCTTATATAGGTCCCATATGCCCCTCCCACATCTCCAGGCAAAACCTGAACATATATAAAATAAAAGTAATCCATAAATAAATTTTTTAAAATGAAGAAAAGAAAATAAAAAAAATAAATAATATAGCGGTTTTAATTTGTTCTGACTGTATTTTGATAGTAATATAAATATATTAAATTTAAAACAACGATATATATACTCAAGGTATATATATATATATAATATAATATCTCTAGTCTGTCCTTGCATTTAGGCTAAAAATTACCTTTCTATTTGTAAAATGCCGGGTGCCAGTCCTGGGGCTTTAACATGCAAAGCAGAAACAAATGGACTGCACTCACGGTCTTCCTTAGTAAAGTTTTGTTTATTCCAACATGTAGATCAATGTTTCAGTCTGCTTGAGGACTTTCCGTAGGATCAAATAATACAATACTAATAAAACAGTGACAGAATATATAGCCATAATAATTAAGAAAAATGATTATGCTTCACGGGCATGCGCGTTGAGCACATAGAGACGCTGGGAGTGACACTAATCACCTGGGGTAAGTAATTTTTCTTAATTATTAATGCTATATATTCTGTCACTGTTTTATTAGTATTCTTTTATTTGATCCTGATGATGAAAGTCCTTAAGCGGACTGAAACATTGATCTACATCTACATGTTGGAATAAAGAAAACTGTACTAAGGAAGTTAGTGCAGCCCATTTGTTTTTGCTTTAATTTTTTATATATATAAAAAATTATAGTGGGTATATATTTAAATTCTACAAATATATGTATATAATATTTTATTTATTAATTACAATCTGAGCGACCTTGCCGACAACCCAGGCAGAAAGTCCCGAGAATTTGGCTCGCAAGCCCTATATTTAACCCTGTAACTTTCCAGGACACCATAAAACCTGTATATAGGGGGTACTGTTTTACTCGGGAGACTTCGCTGGACACAAAAGTTATGGAGTCAAATATAAGGCTTGAATTTCCTTTTTTTTTTTACGTTGAAATTTGCCCTGTAGGTTATGTTGCCTTTGAGACAGTATGGAAGCCCAGGAATGAGAATTACCCCCATGATTGCATACCATTTGCAAAAGTAGACAACTCAAGGTATTACAAATGGAGTATGTCCAGTCTTTTTTAGTAGCCACTTAGTCACAAACACTGTCCAAAATTACCTTGGGTTGTCTACGTTTGAAAATGGTATGCCATCATGGAGGTAATTTTCATTCCTGGGCTACCATTTGGTCTCAAAGGCAAAATAACCAGTCTGGCAAATTTCAATGTGTATAAACTGAAAAATGTAATGTGCTGTATTTGACCCTGTTACTTTCCAAAACACTGTGTACATTGAGGGTACTGTTTTACACGTGAGACATCGCTGAATACAAATATGTGTATTTTATTGCAGTAACAGCTAACAGTATTGTTACATTCACAGTTAAAATGCCATGCAAAACTAAAAAAAATCACAATATCTCAATTTCTTTATATTCATATTAAGTTATGTTTAATATACAAATATTTGATGTGACTGTTTCTCCTGAACAAAATTTATATAAGTGTGGGTGCACATAATATGAAAGAGGTGAATTACGCCTGAACAGACATAGAGCGCAAATTCAAGGTTTTGTTTTGATCACAACTTGAACTACTGCCTCAGTCCTTAAGGGGTTAATATTGTTGTCTGCATCCATTTGTACATATACTGCATACATTACGGTCATTGATTATTCCCCCTATTCCTGTTGCATTAGGGCTAAATTCCAGAAAAGTATGATATTGCTGGTTTAGAAGATAGTTTGTTTGGAAGCAGGCTGTTAGAACATCCAGCAAGATATTCGATAACCTTTTCACGACAAGATATGTTAGAACTGTCATGGAGTGAACCCTCTGACATAAACAGATTAACAGTATTTGCTATTGTCCAAGGGTATTCTAAGGTATTGTTATAGTGCAAGTGTTTGTAAGTGGAGGATTGACTGTCTGTTATACCTGTGTGTGTGGGTTGAACTTTACCTTTTAAACTTTTAACTTAACACGCATAATTAGATACTTTTTGCCATTAGATGACCACTTTGTTATTCATCATAAAGATCTTTGGCTGTCATGGGGCTATATATAGCTGCAGTGCAATAAAATTACAACAATTGTGTTTGTAAATGTGACGGCTACAGTACAGCTTAATGGACATCTGTTCTGTGTAACGTAGAAGAGTAATCAGCTTCCAGACTTATGACCATGCGTGCACTAATGACCAAAGTCTTTTGGACATGCTGTACGCTCTTATTTAAAATTGTACATTGAGCCCTTTAGTGACTGGCTTGTTTTGGTTTTGTTTTTTTGCGCTTTCTCTATTGTTTTTTTTTCAATGTATAAACCAGATTTTCCTTCCATACCCTAGTTTAATATGCATAGCACAACGCTACTATATTTTTACTAGCACGCACATATTTCAAAACTGCTGCACAAAAGCATATATTTATTGAAATGTGATCCTCCTGGGGTATTTCAGTGACAGCAGTTTAACACTTTATGTAATTGTTTTATCACTATTCTATGCAAAACTGCTGGTTATATTTAATTTTTTATGTTTTTTTTTTTTTACACAATTGTTTCATTTTCAAGGGACATTTCGCGGACTGTAGGTATTCAACCACTGTAAAGATGCCAGATTTGTATTTCGCTACTGACTCAAAGTACAACATTTTGCCAAATTTGCCAAAGATTCAGATTACAGGCATGACATTCTTAGTTTTCAAATTTGATAATTTGGTTACCGGGCCCATGTCACTTTAGGGACAACATCTATCTTCCTGCTTTATGTGTCGTCAGTGATATGTGCCCGATAGATGGAATTGAATCATTATTTTCAATGTAATGTTTATGTATGGGTTTCAGTATTCTAACTGTAAATTTTCTGCTTCTGATGAGCCTTTAATGGAGTCTTTTTAATCCCAATAAAGATAATCGGCTCTAATTTAATTGAGCCTATAGTTAATAGTTTGTGAATATAGCTCTACCTGGTCAGGGAATGCCCATAACTAATTTTGTACAATATAGCATTCACTTAACCATTCACATGAGAGGATGTAGCGCAATGTGTTTTTCTGAATTAAACATTGTTTAAAATGAAGTTTCTGAGTGCAGCATTTTTTTCATAATTCAGGATTCCTGGACTGTGAAGTAAATTGTTTCTCTCACTGATCCTAGGGATTAAACCATGTTACAGTTTGTTTCTTTAAACACCAAGTCCTGCTTTGTTTGAACATTAATCATCACACATATGGTGCTAGGTGTAGTGTGATGGACATAAGTGGCAACATATGGCCATTGGCCCACGAGTAATATGTAGTGCTTACAAATATAGTTCAGTGTTAAGACATTTGATCTCGGTTACGGCCTACTTTCTAGTTTAACAACGTGCAAATGTATTCGTAGAATATAGTATGTTATGATACGTGCTAACTGCATTTTGTCATATTTCTGTGAAGCATACAAACATAATGTAAGTAATAATGTAGAGTTGATTGATTGTATTTTTAAAAAGCAAATATCCAACTAGAATTGCTGGTAGTGTTTTTTATTTGTTCTCTTTGTTTATATATTCAGAACTTTGTTAATTAACATTAGCAGTGCGTGTGGGTACGGTACAGCGAGAGATAATTCTGAGAGTGCTCATACAGAATTTCTCTGTTAGATACCCAAGGAGTACAAGCAGAATGGGGGAGGCCTCATGGGGGATTGTAGCACTCGAATCGCGGAAGCGCAGCAGACCTAATTTAGTCTTTTCATTACCTCTGTTGCTGTATTCACACCAGTAAAATATGTAATCATCCTTTCTTCTTTGGAAGTGACGTTTTCTCTTTAAAGGGATCCTATAGTGCCAGGAAAACAAACCCGTTTTCCTGGCACTATATTCTCCTGGAGTGCCCGCCTCCCTCATGTCCCCTCCCGCGGGGCTGAAGGGTTAAAACCTCTTCAGCCACTTGCCAGAATCCAGCACCGATGTCTGTCGGGCTGGGTCAGGCTCCGCTCAGGCTCATCCCCCCGCTGACTTCGGGGGAGACCTAATGCACATGCTCGCCAATGGCCACTCACGCATTAGACCTCCCCATATTATTCAGTGCTTTCCTATGGGGAAAATCTGACGTCCAGCATCAGATAACGGACCAAGTGGCTATAAGGCAGACTGAGAGCTGCAATGGAAACCCTCTAGTGGCTGTAAGGCAGACTGAGAGCTGCAATGGAAACTAAGTGCAAAAGGGACACCGCACCCAGACCACTTCAATTAGCTGAAGTGGTCTGGGTGCCTACAGTATCTCTTTAAGTCACAGAAATAGTCCTGAAAATTTTTTTTAGCAGTAACTATTGGTAAAAATCACCTGTACTCACGTTTACAGCTTGAGTCTCGACCATTGTTATTTTAACTCTTGCTAGTGGTTATGAATAAAAACAAACAGAAAAGCGTATTTGCATGAAAATTCTGCCACACTTTCTTCTCCTACCAAGACTTCTGTCATAGAGGATGTGGACAGAAATTCATGTTTGGTGACTGTGCCTAATAATTTGGGGGATAAATTGGTTATTAATATCTTTACTAAATTCAGATCCCTGGTTGACATATTGGTACTGCCATTATAAAATGTTGCATCCACTTTAAGGAAAATCTTCCTCCACACTCGGGGCCGGATTAAGAGCACACTGGGCCTGGTGCTGACAATTATGATGGGCCTAATTACGGAATCTTATCGACCAAAAACACTAAAACAGTCCTACCTCCCAAGCGTCATGTATCTGATGGAGATGGTGCTGGAGGGAAACTCATAGGATGCAGCTATAGGAAAACACATACCCTATGCTAATCTCTCTCTAATTTATGCTTTCATCTTTCAAGTAAATCCATAACCCCTAACAGCAGTGTTCAGTGAAGCAGGAAGTCAATGGGCGGGGTAAAAGGTTGTGCCGCTGACACAAATTACGTAACCTGCCAAAAGGGGAGAACATGCCCAAAATGCATGTCAGGCTGCCCGCCAATCCTACAGGCTGTCCAACTAAGGGCATACTATGCAGGCAGCACCTTGAGCTTGACATAAATGCATCTAATAATGCGCTCACTTCGTGCTTTCTAAGGACTGTCCCCTATCACTCGCTGGTCCACTTGTCTCCTTACCTTCTTACTAGCAGGCAGAAGGTCCTGGTATATAGTCTGAGACAGAGAAAAGGTGTATGTAGTGAGTGTAGAAGAAAGGGGACATGCCACAGTTTTAGAGAGATCAGCGTCTGCATTACCTAAACTAATTTTAATGTCAGCCAGTGCACACAAGTTTTGTTCCCATACATTCCTCTTAAGCTTCCAAACTTAAAGGGACACTATAGTCACCAGAACAACTACAGCTTATTGTATTTGTTCTGGTAAGTAGAATCATTCCATTCAGGCTTTTTGCAGTAAACACTGTCTTTTCAGAGAAAATAACTCCACTGGCGCTCCTTAGATGGCTGCTAGAGGTGCTTCCTGGGGCAGTACTGCCTAGTGTGCAGCACTGCCATTCAGTGTCTCCACCCTCTGCATGCAGACACTGAACTTTCCTCATAGAGATGCATTGATTCAATTTATCTTTATGAGGAGATGCTGATTGGCCAGGGCTATGTTGGACTTGTGCTGGCTCTGCCCCTGATCTGCCTAGTTGACACTCTCAGCCAATCTTATGGGGAAGTTTTGTAATTTGCTCAGACCACCACTTCTGATGATGTCAGCAGACAGTCAATTCAGAGGCAGAGCCAGCAGCTGCAGACTTGAATACAAGTTATATTTTACTATACTTAGGGAGGCAAGAAGGGGCCAGGGTCTCAGTCTCGAAGTCACCCAGTGTCCCTATGTGTCATAGTGTCAGTGTCCCCATGTCGCCCAGTCCCCTAGTCTCCCAGTGTCTGTGTCCTCATTTCTCCCAGTGTCCCAATGTCTCATTGTGTCCCCTTGTCACTAGGATACTGGGGAAACAGTGAGACATGGGGACACTGAGAGACATGGGGACACTGAGAGACTTGGAGACTATGGGACTGGGCGACATGGGGACACTGACACTGTGATACATAGGGACACTGAGACACTGGGTGACTTGCGAGATTGAGACACTGGGAGCAATCCATCTATACAGCAGAATCAAACTGTGAGTAGTTTGTTGGTGATTTTACAGAGAGACCCGGGGACACGGGGACACTGGGAGACATGGGGACATTGAGACATTTTGGGAAACTGGGAGAAATGGGGACACTGAGACACTAGGAGACATGGGGACACTGAAACATTTTTGGACACTAAGACACTAGGGACACAGAGACATGGGAACACAGACACTGGGAGACAGGGGGACACTGGCTGGGAGACAAACACTTGGGGACACTGGGAGACATGGGGACAGTTGTGGACATAGACATGGGGACACTGGGACATATAGGGACACTGGGAGACATGGGGACACTAGGCACACTGAGACACTAGGAACACAGACACTGGGAGACAAGGGGACACTGAAACATTTAGGGGACACTAAGACACTAGGGACACAGAGACATGGGGACACTGGGAGACTATGGGACACAGACACTGGGAGACTTGGGGACAGTTGTGGACATAGACACTGGGACATATAGGGACACTAGGCACAATGAGAGACATGGGGCACAGACACTGGGAGACTTAGGGACACTGAGACACTACTGACACTGGATAGGGGACATGGGGACACTGGGAGAAATGGGGACATAGTGTCTCCGTGTCCCAATGTCTCAGTGTCTCCCAATGTCCCTATGTCTCACAGCATCCCCATGTGTCTCAGCATCCCCATGTGTCCCAGTGTCCCCTAGTGTCTCAGTGTCCCCATGTTTTCCAGTGTCCCCAAGTGTCTCAGTGTTTCCAGGCCTCCCAGTGTCTGTGCCCCCATGTGTCCGAGTGTCTTAGTGTCCCCTAGTTTCTGTGTCCCCATGTGTCTGTGTCCCCTAGTGTCTCAGTGTCCCCATATGTCCCCTAGTGTCTCAGTGTCCCCTAGTGTCTCAGTGTCCACATGTGTCCCCTAGTGTCTCAGTGTCCCCATGTCTCCCTGCTGCCTTTCCCCCATCCCTCACCTGAGCTGTAGAGCTGCTTTCTGGACTCCCTGTGCTGTGTTGCTGCTCCCCCACGGATCAGTGAGTAGCAGAGAGAGGCAGGGAGGGATATGCTGTAACTTCCTATCCCTGCCTCTCTGCACACACAGTGACCCCTACTGGCAGATGCTGGTATTGCAGAGTAATCTCCATTTATTCTGAGAAAAATACCTGCATTTGTATTGCCGGTATTACTGCGATACCGACATGGCCAGGCAGCCTCAAATACCGGCTGTGCCAGTAAAATACCAGTCAGGTGGCAAACCTAAGAGTAGTGTGTAAAAAAAAAAAAAAAATTTTTTTATTTTTTAAATGGGCCTATTTCATGGGCCTGGGCCTGGAGCTGCAGCTCCATCAGCCCCTATGTTAATCCGGCCCTGTCCACACTTCATTTTTTTCAACCTGTGGATTGTCATTCTTGCACTCATTTTGAAAGTCCAACCAAACTAGTGGTGTCTGTGACTCCCCTTTGGCCAATCACTAAAGGCCTTTGCAGTATTCATATGGAAAAGAGCTAAAATTGTGCCGCCCAGGAGTAGTGGGAGTTTGAGCTTCCCATTTTGTATGTTTTTAAGTGCTAGAATTTCTGTTTTGCCTCTCCATTCCTTACCTCTTAACTTATTTTTCTCTGTATATCCTTCTTCCTACTCTGCATGTTGTTTGATATATGTTGAAGAAAACCTTTTGAATTACCATTATCTTTGTTTCATTAATACTTGGCATAGTATGCCTAATTTGCTTGTGTTTTATTCAGTAAAGATAATGCCTTACAAAAGTTAGTTTCCCTTTAAAGAATTATTCAGGAACGTCAATTTATATTTTTATTTTTTTTAAAGATGTTCTAGGTCAGCATCGGCAACCTTCGGCACTCTAGATGTTTTGGACTACACCTTCCATGATGCTTTGTCAGCATTATGGGTGTAAGAGCATTATGGGGGATGTAATTCACAACATCTGGAGTGTCGAAGGTTGCCTATCCCTGGTCTAGGAGATTAGTATTGCTGACTTCTTATCTTTCCTTTGCACAAATTGCATTGATCAGTGGGTGGCTGTGCTAGTGGTTCCTGTAGTAATCTTTCTGCCTTTCCTTGCATGTGTAGATTATCCTATTCTGCCAGATGGAAATACAGAATTCTGTTCACCCCTGTAGTCATCTAAAAGTTATTTGTCAGCCTTTCTCAACTGTTAATCTCTTTGCCAGTTTAAAATTACGCCAAAACAAGGTATATCCCTAACAAGGTTATTGCCTCAAACTTTTTTCCCATTTAGATTTCCCTAACTGCAACTCTGAACAGAAAATCCTACTTATTCATATTATAATGGCAGCCAAACTTATAATAACCAGAAAATGGAAAGTTCATGCAGCACCATGCTAGTTTGAAATAAAAAATCTAATTATCAAAGACAGATGGAAGAGCATTCTGTAGAAATTCTGGTAAACTTTCCCAACATAACAAAATATGAGAAAAATGGATTACTCTATCCTAAAAGAATAATAAATAATACCCTGAGAAACAGTCATACAACAGATACAATATATACTGGCTTTAATTGAATATATCATCTTATTTTAAAGGATCACTATAGTGTCAGGAAAAAAAAACAAAGTGGTTTTCCGGACACTATAGTGCCATGAGGGTGCCCCCACCCTCAGGGTCCCGCTCCCGTGGGTCTGAAAGGGTTAAAACCACCTCAGCAGCTTACCTTAATCCGATGTCAGCGAAAGCTGAATGCGCATGCGCGGCAAGTGCCGCACACAGATTCAAAGTGTCCATAGGAAAGCATTTCTCAATGCTTTCCTATGGACGCCCTGCGCGGTGGAGGCATAATATGCCTCCAGCGTTGCAGATGCGCCTCTAGTGACTGTCTGGTGACCACTAGAGGCTGGCTTAACCCCAAATGTAAACATAGCAGTTTCTCTGAAACTGCTATGTTTGCATCTGAAGGGTTAAAACCTGAGGGACCTGGCACCCAGACCACTTCATTGAGCTGAAGTGGTCTGGGTGACTATAGTGTCCCTTTAAGTATGGCAGTATACCCTCGTGATCCTCAACCACAATACTTTCTCTCATCATCCCTAATTTCCCTCTCTGTTCAGTCTTTTTCTTTTTTTTTCTTTTTTGCATGAATGGAAGTATGAATGAAACATTGGAGTAGGATGAAACACTTTTATTGAATAACGCAATCAGATATATTAAAGGAACACTATAGTCACCTGAACAACTTTAGCTTAATGAAGCAGTTTTGGTGTATAGAACATGCTCCTGCAGCCTCACTGCTCAATCCTCTGCCATTTAGGAGTTAAATTCCTTTGTTTATGAACACTAGTCACACCTCACTGCATGTGACTTGCACAGCCTTCCATAAACACTTCCTGTAAAGAGAGCCCTATTTAGGCTTTCTTTATTGCAAGTTCTGTTTCATTAAGATTTTCTTATCTCCTGCTATGTTAATAGCTTGCTAGACCCTGCAAGAGCCTCCTGTATGTGATTAAAGTTCAATTTAGAGATTGAGATACAATTATTTAAGGTAAATTACATCTGTTTGAAAGTGAAACCAGTTTTTTTTTCATGCAGGCTCTGTCAATCATAGCCAGGGGAGGTGTGGCTAGGGCTGCATAAACAGAAACAAAGTGATTTAACTCCTAAATGACAGTGAATTGAGCAGTGAAATTGCAGGGGAAAGATCTATACACTAAAACTGCTTTATTTAGCTAAAGTAATTTAGGTGACTATAGTGTTCCTTTAATTCACATTATTACTCCAATAATAACCATATCTGTAATTTAAAATGTTGTCAACATTTTGGTTTTGTTATTGTATTAAATGTATTAATGTATTGTCTCCAAAATTTTATAAATATTAAATATAAAAAGAAAAAAAATAACACCACCAAAACAGGATTTTTGCAAATGTTTTGTGCATAATAAAAAGTTAAAACAAAGGATTACAACAAGCACCACAACTACTACATGCATTTGTATTGGTTATGATGCCAGGAGTACACTGGCCCCATTTCAAAGTATTGGGGTAAATGGTTTTGCTTTTTTACCTGTCTCCAAAAGTCTTCCACTGTCCTATTGTAGTCGGAAGTCAATCCCACCGGCAATTTATGAATGCAACTCTTGTTCTGGGTTTTGAAGGGCTAAGATTAGTTATTCCTTAAATCATGGGTCGTCAACCTGGTCCCTACCACCCACTCTTGGGCGTTTCAGGATTCCAGGTGGGCGGTAGGGATTTCGGTGGCACAACAAGCAAAAATGCTAAATCCTCCTTTTGAAAGAGTGGGCAGGCGCAAGTGCACACATGAAAGTACGAACGTGCACACAAACGTGTAACACGTGGGAAGAGGAAGGGGAGCTGATGCACAATAGCAGGGACAGGCAGAAGTGGAGCAGAGCAGTTGTAAAATAGGAGAAAGAAAAGTTTATAGGCCGGACAAGGAGAGAATTGTTGTTGGCTAACTAGCTCAGCCTCACTTTTGTACATTGCCATAAGGAATGTAAAAGAAAAGCTTTAAAAAAAAAAAAGAGATAAAAAGGAAAAGATCAAAATAATAAAAATACAAAAAGGAAGAAAAATAGAAAAGGGGGATAAAATAAAGGAGGGGAGTCCTTGTAAAAAAGGAGAAAGAAGGAGCAGAGTACTTGTAAAATAAGAGAAGGAGCAAAGTACTTGTAAAAAGCAGAAAGAAGGTGCAGAGTACTTGTGGAATAGTAGAAAGAAGGAGCAGATTACTTGTGGAATAGAAGAAAGAAGGAACAGAGTACTTGTAGAATAGAAGAAAGAAGGAACAGAGTACTTGTAGAATAGAAGAAAGAAGGAACAGAGTACTTCTGGACTGGAAGAAAGAAGGAGCAGAGTATTTTTAGAATAGGAGAACGAAGGAGCAGAGTACTTGTAAAAAAGGAGAAAGAAGGAAAATAAAAAATATAAAAAGGAGATAATTGTTGTTGACTAATAATAGTAAGTAGGCTACCTAGCTCAGCCTTCCTGCTGGGCATTGCTATAAGGAAGGTAAAAAAAAATAGAAAAAAGGGGGAGGGGGAATTGAGGAGGGGAGCTGATGCACAGATGAGAAATCATATTATGAGCTAACAGAGAAGTCTTCTGAATATCATCGAAAGAGGAGACCTCGTTTGTTCCTTACGAAAATCGAACCAGATATCAAATATTTAGTCTCTCAGCATCAACCTCAAGGATCTCATTAATCACTAGTAACGGTAATTTCAATTTACTTTATTGTTTTCTCATTAAACTTTATAAAGTTAAACATATTATAAACATGCATAAAGTAGAAATAAAAAGATAAATGTACGTACATTTTATTTATTTATTTTTTTAAACACCCTCACTTGCGTGAAAATTGGTGGACGGTAAGGACATTTTTCCATCAAGAAAAATGCATTAGTGGGAGGTAGGTAGAAAAAGGTTGACTACCCCTGCTTTAAATAATGGATACCCAGCCATGCTTTGGGACTAAGATCATGGGAAGTATAGTTTACATACACGCAATGAAAAGTGACTTTTCACGTGGAGAAATAAGCAGGTTGGCACTGGCATGACTACATCTCACTGCATTATTTTTAACCACCGACCCACCCGTGCACGGTGTGAGGCAATACGGTCATACAATTTCCCTTCCTTGATTATTAGAGGGTGTTTGGAACATCTGCACTTTTGTTAATGAAATGTATATATTTTTACTGTGTATAAAAATATATACATGCAGCCAGGAGGCCTGTTTCTGGCCATGGTTATAGGGCCAGAAATGCACAGGTGCCCCTCCCATGTAAGTAATCATATTGTTTTAGAACAGTTCAACTACTTGCTTAGGGCCCACTTAGAGCTGCTCCCTACCTTTACAAGAGCCAGAAGCTTGCAGCTCTGAGCTAAGTCAAGTATTTTCCAATTAGCTGGCCTTGCACTGCAGGGGTTAGCTCGGGAAACTCACAGAAACTCCTGCTTAGGAGTGACCAGCTCTCCTGGAGGCTAAAGTGGGTAGTGTCTCCTTAAAATGGTTTGACTACTTACTTCAGTTATGGTGCTTGGAGTGTTCCTTTAATTTGAGGGAGTGTCATCTCAGTTGCAAAAGCCAAAATTATCCATACAGGGCCAGATAGTATTGGCCACAATTTAGCGAACAGAGCTGTTACATAGCTGAAAAGAGACTTGCGTCCATCAAGTTCAGCCTTCCTCACATATGTTTTTGTTGTTGATTCAAAAGAAGGCAAAAAACCCAGTCCGAAACACTTCCAATTTTGCAACAAACTAGGAAAAAAATCCTACTTGACCCCAAAATAGCAGTCAGATGTCTCCTTGGATCAAGCAGCTATTACCCCACTAATTAGAAATTTATATCCCTGTATGTTATGTTTTTGGAAGTATTTATCCAATTGCAGTTTAAACATCTGTATGGACTCTGATAAAACCACCTCTTTGGGCATACAATTCCATATCTTTATTGCTCTTGCTGTAAAAAAACAAAAACAAACATTTTCTTTGCCTTAGATTAAATCTCTTTTCTTCCAGCCTAAATTCATGACCTCGTGTCCTATGTATAGCCCTGTTTATGAATAGATTTTCAGATAATAGATTTCCAGATAATGGTTTGTACTGGAACCTGTTAATTTTGCAGAATGAATTAGAGGGACCTTATAGTCACCAGAACAGCTACTGCTTAATGCAGTTATTCTGGTGTCTACTGCCTGTCCCTGCAGGATTTTTAAGGTAAACACTTGTTTTCAGATGTTGCTGCCTAGTAGCACCTCTAGTGGCAGTCACTAAGATGGCCGCTTGAGGTGCTTCCTGGGTCAGTGCTGCACAATGTTCCTTTTAAGATGACCATGTAGCTCTTTGAACACAGTTCAGTTGCTGGCATTTTAGAACCGAATACTGACAGATGAACTTCTCCTGCCCAAACCTGTTGTTCCCTTAAAGCACAATATATTGGATTAGCTCGGCAGTACTGTAGTAAGCATCAGTCACTATCCTGGTTTGGTGCGAATCCATTGTCAAAGCTGCTTGGGAAGTTATAGAGAAGTGTCATCTAGGAGTTGTATTATTTTTCTATTTACAGTTTTATTTTATTGTTTTGCATATATTCTAATGAATAATTTATATAATGCACTACAAAAATGAAATCTCCAGATTGTCCTCAGCCTTGAGTGTCCTTTCAAGTAATACACAGAATTTTTTTTAAGTTTCTACGTATATACATTAACATAATGTCCATTTATGATCTTTAGAATACAGACGAAGGTAGCAGCTGTTCTAGTGCACCAAAAAATTGACTTAAGGCAGTGTTTTGCCCATGCACCTACCTGTTAAATGGAGCAGAAATGACTAAAATTCAACTTTACGGCTGTGTTGGTTTGAAGTGCACTTTGGTCTAAAAGCAACAGTGTTAGACATTCCAGCATTTAGCAGGAAGGTAAATCTTTCACCGTTTTAGGGTTCATACAAGGCTGCCCTCTAAACCAATTATAATGATGGCCAAGACTTAAAGGTTAGCTCCATTTCCGGTCTGCTCAGAAAACCTTGTTTTATAGTTCTTTGGGATAACTTTGTTTAATCCAAATTGTTCTGCATTCATTAACTGTGGTTACTGCCGTCTGTACCATATAGATGTTTGTATGTCACCACAGACCATCAATCAGATAACTTTTTTTACTTGAAATCATCTTTTTATTGGTTTCTAATATTATCACTTGTCATAGAAACCATGGACCATTTTTGCAATGTACACATGGTAGCCAGATGTCCATTAATTTTTTCGAACTCTATTTACACATCCTGAAAGAGATTTTATGTGCTTGAAACTACTTTTTATGCCTCATGATAGAAAAACAGTTTAAAAATACTAAATAAAAGCATGTTTAAATATCACTATACACTATTTGCTTTTTCTTTTTTTTTCTGTGCAAAAACTGAAATTTCATTTAAAAAAAAAAAAAAAAATGGTAGTGAGAAAGCTTTTTGTAACTTTGGAAATGCCTACCATCACTGTGACAGTAGTCACCATCACTGGGAGCAGAAGGATACTTTACAATGGTTCCTATGTCTGTCACTTTGTGCCCATTATAGGTGCAGGGTGTTTATAGTGTGTGTGTGTGTGTGTGTGTGTGTGTGTGTGTGTACATACTGTTAGATGTTTTGCCTGCTCTCCTCTCCTGCTGAGGATTGCTACCAACCAGGTGGATTTGGATATGGAGCCTGTGTAGCGCCCTCTGTTGGCAGCACCAGCAATATGCACTAGCTGAATAGCAAGGCTGGTTAATTTGCATATTTGGGTAGATTTGCATATTGCTAATTCTGCTGGCAGGAGAGATATTTTGTGTTAATTGTCTTCACCCCCCCCTTATAAATATGTCATAGTGTTATAATACGTTGCTGTATGTTGTCTGCTATGATTTGTTTATTACACGGTTCATCCTGAAGAAGAGTTATGGACACTTCCATAACAGATCCATTGATCATTCATGGACATTCAACATCTCAAATTACTTAGTCGGTGAACATGTTTTTCAAACTATTAACCAATACTTCAAAAGTTGTCAGATTTTTTTTTTTTTTTTTTCTGACTATTGAACAAGATGTGAGATTAACACATACCAATTTAGCCTCAGTCGATAATTTTTTGAATTTAGCAGCATTACTGGCAGAAAAAATGGTTCTGCAGAGTACAGATTGTGATTGGTTTTGTAAATTGTCAAGTGATTCTGCTCAAAAGTCAGAAAATGTTATTTATAGGTTAAAGATGCTGGAATCTAATTTACCCCATTTATTGGAGTTGCTGTGTTTTTATTATAGAAGCTGCAGTTTATTGTTTTGGTTCTTCAATAAATGCAGTGTGATTCCACTTTCTAGATTTAGAAACACTAAAATATCAACTGCTTTTATCTAACTCTTGCCTAAATGGACTAAAACACTCCAAAATGCTTTCACGTTGATTAATTGCCTCCTATATGTAGGATATTGGACATATTAATAACAACAAATAAAGGCTTCCACCCATCTTTAAGATTTTAAACGAGTAACACGGAATGCCATGTGTATTCCCTGGGCATGTTGCTATTTATAATCTCCTCCTAGGGAACTAAATTGTCTCAATCTATCATGCTGTGTACAGTCTGCTTGCTTGTAATTTTTAACACAATGTGCAGCTATGTGAACAAATGCTCGTTCTGTGACGTCAAGCCGTGCTTATAATTACCCTACACATTCAGCTTTTGGATTTCCTTAGCTGGTTTACAACACGCCAGCTTGTTCTTAGATTGCAGGCTTGAGTTTTATTGTTCAACATATATTTCTTATTTATCGACACAGTTCAAGCTTCATAAATTTATATTTCTGGGCAATCGGAGAAGGAAAAGAATTTGCAATGTGAAGAACAGTGCTATTTATTGTAACATTCATTTTTTATTTTTTTTTATTTTCTAGTGTTGCAGTCAAATTCTGTCCTTGTATTTATCTGCTAGCTGGATGAATCACGTCTTTGTCCGTGTTACAATCTCCATTCTTCCTACAGTTTCCAACTTGTATTTGATATACGTTGACGTAGGCTTGCTTGAGAATCCATCTATAATAAATGTTTTTTTCCATCCAAATTTGCAAGAGTACTTGTTGCATTTTATTTTATCTTCTCTGTCAAGGTCGTCGCAAAGAATCAAACGTTATACTACATAATTTGCACAAATTGAGAACATTTTAATTTTACAAAAGCTTTTTGTTAAGACCTGCAGTGGTTATGGTACTGCGGTTTTCTATTCTTTTCCCAATAGCTGAACATAAGTGAGTATAACTGCAGTTAGGAGGTAGAAGAATAGTGCAGATGAATGCAGCTTCCAAGATGATTCTCCCCAGCAAGTAGAATATTCCCCAAACATGAACCTAGACTTCATGAAGGGTCTAACAGGAATAACTTTTATTGATGCCACACTGGCTTTTATGAGCATCCCCCTGCAAGAGGACCTCCCACAGTAAACAAAGAGAATAACATATCCAAATTTCACCCAGATCGGTTCAGGGGTTCTTAAAAACTATGGAAGTCGGGGGCGGAGCTAAGCTGCCATGCTGAGCGGTCGCACTGGAGATGAGCTCCGTGCAAAAGCTCTGTAACGGCCAGAATCAGGGCACAAACTCACCAAATTGACAACTAGGCGACTTGGAGAAGGGAGCCCTAACACTGCAGAACCAAGCAACAAGCATCCCGACCAAAATCGGAGACGCCAAACCGGGGATCGACCAGAGGCCTACTAGAGGCCTACCCAGACTACAACCACTTACCTGGAGGTCTCCCCGGCATATTTCCTCCCCCCCCTGCCGGAGAGGGATATCCCGGCAACTAAAGCCTGGAACACAGCGAATCAACTACAGAAGTGACTGTCCAACACAGCCGGAACAGCACCAGCACTCATCGGGTCACTGGGAAGCAGCTAAGATGGCCGCCCAGCGAAGGCCCCAAACACAAAGCACACACGCTCCACCAACCTCGAACCCCCTGGGGGAATTCGACCGATTCTGCGCGATCCTCTGGACCATGCTGAGCGACCGTGGAATGGCTCACCGTCTGGCGGTGAAACTAGTGGCCACATGGCTCCGTCCAGTGACCCGGCGGCGCCATTATAGGTATCCACTACAAGCAACCAGAACAGCAGCCAGACCCTGCAAACACCGACGAGCCCACGGGTGGAAAACGCCACCATGCTGCAGGAGCGACCACACTGGTCCCCACACCCACGAGAACGAGACTACCAAACCAGCCTCCCACATAAGCTACTCAACGGCTCCGGGAACCAGCGTCCAGCAAAGCTCACCACCATCTCTCCATGTCACAGCTGCAAACCGGGGAGCTGCACGGCTGAACACCCCACTGAACACCACTGGAGCTGGGCCCCAATTCGGGGACGCCTTCAAGGAGACCAACGCTGACAACAAGAGACATGTCCATGCACTGGGCATCGGCTGAAGAGCCTACCTCTGTGCCTCTCAAGTAAACATGCCACACTTGCATCTTGGAGGGCATGTTCACAGCCGGCAACAACTATCGACATATGGACTACCCACACCTCGTAAATATAAATACCACTGCATAGACTGTGTTTTAAGTGGACAATGCTGGCCAAACATATAGCCTAGCTACACAGATATGCCGTAAAGTATGCCATAGACTACCTCTTGTTATTTTTTGTTTAGTTCAGGACCAGATAGTATAAGCTCTCATCTGCGATTCATAATCACCTTTGTGTCCACTTGTAGTTAAGGTGCAGCAGATTAGCATGTTACCACATACCCAGCAGAAAAAGTCTAATCGCAATAGCTACGAATTGGTATTTTGGTACAACATTTATTGCCCTGCCCAAGCGATGCCTCAATATTGTTTTAATGATGTTTTATAGTTACACAAGCGAGAACTACACTGTTGAAATAATAATCCTACTAACCTAAAATATGTGCCTGACTAGCATACGTCACAACCTGTATTGCAAATGTTTTCCAATCTATCCTGATGTCGCTGTTGTGGCACACCAGGGCTACTTGTTACTATTGTGCACAACAAAAATAAAGAATTATATATAAAAAAAAAAAAAAGTATGGAAGTCATAGTTTACTGACCACACACGAGGCTCCTGCCCAAAACAGTTCCATGAATTCAGCGTGTGTGGTCGGTCAATTCAGTAAAAGGCATAAAACTAATAAAAGTCCCGAATGGATCCTCCTTGCTCATAGCAGCGATTGCTTCCCTTGTTCATATGAACCAAACTACCGAATGGTGCTCTCCTGGCTGTTCGGCAACTAAAGGAGGCAGGCGTTTTCTGCTCCACGCGGCATTTGGCTATACGAACAGCGGCCGCCCAGAGAACGCTTAATAGACGGTTCTTTTGAAGTTAATGAGCCAGGAGGGTAGTCGGTGTTCGGTAGTTTTAAACTACTGAACTAATAGATCCAACATGAACAAAATACTGCAGAAAAGCCCGAACATAGAAGAAAATACCGAACTCAGTCTATTTTCTTCACACTTTTACTATGTTTGTTTTGTTTTTTTTCTTTATGATGGCTTACTACAGCAGCCATTGTCTCCTTCAATTTTGATACTATAGTGCATTATTGCAGATTTTCAAAAGAACAATTTTCTGCTTTATTTGACCAAATGTAGTCAGCAATTTTGATAATACAATGTCACGCAAGTGATCTTTGCCTGAAAACTATAGTTTACTGATTTGCATTGGTATTCTTCAATTCTAGGAATTGGTGGAACCTTTGACCAAGGTCTAAATGACACCATATTCAATTTAATTATAGTTACTTGTAGCTGTTTACATTAAGGGATTTAGTGCCCAGAATTAATACTGGTAGACAAAATCCTATATCATGTCTGCTTGTGTGATGACTTGGGTTCCACCCTTCTAGTTCAGGAGGTACCATAGATTTGCTGGACTCTTGACTGGCCTCAATAGTTGAACAGGTGACGTTGTATGCTGGAACCACTGCACGGCTTGTTGGAATAATATATTGGGCACTGACATAGTGACTATATGCTATGTTATGGAGCTTGTGTTTGTGTCTGTGTGTGTGTGGTGTTGGAATTTATGGTCTTTGTACTTTTTGCAGCAGAGGTGCTTGACTGCTCCATTATCTACAACAATATCAGAGTTTTTTTTGTTATGTTTTTTTTAAAACTGGTAAATTGAAGTATTGGATTTTACATCAGTAATTTGTGGAGTCACCATAATCTTAAAATTTTTTAGAATTACCCAAGATAGTGTTGTCATCACCTAGTACCAAGTAGCCAAGGAAGACCTGTTCAATAATTATTGATATGTTGATGATATATTGTAAACAAATATACTGACACCTCTGCTCCTCCCACAGTATCGGGATTCAGAGATCCAAGGCATGTTAGGTGTTCGCATTTTAGCATATTTCTAATTTTTATTTTGCAAACACCTTTGCTAGATTCATTATGGATGTATTATCAAACCACGTTACAACACAACTAGTATATGTGGGTCCTTTAGGCACAATATTAAGAAAACAAATATGTTGTGTCGTGGTTTTGATAAGCCTTTATAAAATATGTATATTTGTGGGGGGGGGTTGTGTATTGTGAGATTTATTTGTAATAAAACGTAAACCTGAAGCTTCCCATGTTATAAGTGCAACCCTGGTAAGACCACCCAAAAACCAAACATCGGTTCTCAAGTGAAGTCCTAGTCAGGTTAAATAATCCAACGTGGAATAATTAAATGGAGGTAGAGTGTACGTAATGTAACTCAAGTATACATTTGCTATCCTTTGATTTAGTAAGTTTAACCACTTCTGTTCTATCCTTTTTGTTTCCTGTATATACAAGTGCTTGATAAATATCTTTCTTTCGCTTAGGAAGAAGAAATGCCAGAAGTTGAAATAGATATTGATGATCTTTTAGATGCGTCTAGTGAGGAAGAACGAGTTTCGAAATTACAGGTAAGACAATTGCAGTTAAATGTGTCTCTACTTCTAGCTATCTAATATTTATTTTTATGGAAAATGTACTTCCCATACGTTTCCCGTTCCATGAATAAGCATACAGCTAGGGATTGACCGATTATATCATTTTTTCAGAGCTGTTACAACAGGGCTTGACTAATTTGCTTGGATCTAGGAGCCAGCAAAAAAAAAGTTGGGAGCCAGGTTTTTCGATGTCACAATTACTTTCTTAAAAGGACACTATAGTCACCAGAACCACTGTCTGTAGCCACTCCCTGCAGGCTTTTCAATGAAAACCCTACCTTTTCTCTGAAATGTATTTATATTGTTTTTATATTTTATATTGTTGTTGTCTAATAACACTTCTAATGACAGTCACTCAGACTGCCTCTAGATATGTTCCTGTGTCAGTGCTGCACAGGGGGCAGAACCACACCCTAGATGGAGGCGCTAAATGTTCCCCATAGAGATGCATTGTGCAATAGCCTCCCACACATGCGCAATAGCCTCCCAATGCTTTCCTATGGGAAATCATTGGATTGGTTGAGATCATCAAGATTGGTGATCTCAATCATAGAGGTAAGGCCAGCTGGTGAGAGACCAGCACAGCATAGGGCAAAAAAACTTGAGTAAAAAAAAACCTTCACCATGTAATTGGAGGAGGACTGGTCACTTAAACACTCACTGACAGACGCACACGGATTTGATACACACACCGACACACACATTCACTGCAACAATCACATAAATGTGACCACCCAGCCTCCCTATATTTGGAAGAGCTTGAGTGGTTTGGCTTTCCCTGGGATCCAGTGGGATTTTTGTAATCTACCTGCTCTGCCCCCTAGAGTGCCGTTTAGTAATGCTGGGGCCGGAACGACGTCTTCCTGGCATCACTGGAGGGCGCGCAATGGAGCGGAGCAGAGCATGGAGGTTACAACTCCCTCGCGTGCCTGCCAGTCTGCCTCAATCCTCCAAGAGCCTCCCTTTGTGTGCAAGCCCATGCTCTCACTCAGAAGGCCTCCTGCCTGCACACCAAATACTCTTCCTGCCCAGGGCGACCGCACGCAGTGCTCTTTATGAGCAGACCAGCCACCCTTCCGCCTCCACTCATAGGCAGCTGACCACCTCAGGGGCAGGTTAAGCTGACAAATACCAGATGACCTGGCGTCTGTGATTTGTCGAGCGCAGTGTTTTAGAATACTGGTAGCCTTTTGTGATTATTGCCGATAACTGTACATTTAAAGGGACACTAGAGTCAGCAAAACAACTTAAATAAGCAGTTTTGATGTATAAATAATGCCTCTGCAGTCTCACTGCTCAATTCTCTGCCATCACACTGCATTGGCTGGCAGCTGGACGTGGAAGAAGGCGCGTTGTGAAGGGAAGTATATTATTGGAAATATCAGTAACCATGGAGATCGATGCCAATTATTAGAAAAACAACAAATATTGGCTCTAGTAATCGGCTTGATAACCAGTTGACATACAATACAGCATAAAATAAAACCAATATAAAAGTCCTTGTATTTTTACATCATGCTCTTAGTGTAATGTACTCCCAAAAGAAGACTGTTCCAATAACACTAATGCCTACAAAGTAAATATATTATAGAATGCTATATCCATCATTAGACTGTATGCTCTGATGCAATGCTAATTTATTGAATAAATGTTTTCAATGTCAAGCACAGTGAGTGTGTCAGTTTAGTGCTGCTGATATGGTCACTGCAATAATTTGGCATGGCCAAATCCTTCCAACACCAAATGCTGAGCCCATTATGTGTCATGAGCATGTAATGTGTGTTCATGCAATGGAAATATTTAGAATCGATGAGTGAAAGATATCCCTTATTATGACATTCCAGGACAGAGAAATTGGTTGTGGGTACAACCCCCCACCCCCCTGCTAACCTGCTTGTCAGGTATAGCATGGCATGTAATTTATCGCCGGAACCCACTTCCGGGTTCACGGCGCTCAGCCCCGCCCCTTTCTCTGACGCGGTCCCTCCACGATACTTAGGAGGACCGCGCCAGATTCAAAGGGCTGATTATTCGCACAGGTGCTGCATGAAGATCAGCTGCTCTACTTCTGATCCTACCTGCTCCACTTCTATACCTCGGCTAGTAAACGGATTTCTACCTTCTCCACTTCTCGACCTCGGCTAGTAAACGGATTTCTACCTTCTCCACTTCTCGACCTCGGCTTGTAAACGGATTTCTACCTTCTCCACTTCTCGACCTCGGATTGTAAACGGATTTCTACCTTCTCCACTCCTAGACCTCGGCTTGTAACTCTGAATTCTACCTTCTCCACTCCTAGTTCTCAGCTTGTTGAAACGGACTTCTAATTTCTCCTTCATTGGGTGAATTAACCCTTCCAGTGCCAGAACTGCCTTTAAGTTAAGTAATACTTTTACCAAACAAGTCAATTACTATTATTTATATTACACAGTATCTAAAACTCACTAAAGTGTCACTTTGTCTAATTATTCCTCTTACTCATAAGGGATTGCTACAAAGCCTAAATTTACCTACATGGATATTTAAAGGTACAGTGACCATAGTTTCATACCAATATAAAAGGAGGTGAACCTTATTGTTGTTGCAACCAAGAAATGCTGCAGTTGAGTTCCAATTAAAGTAATATTACAAAATAAGTATTACACTGCTTGAAAATAGTTTGATAAAACACTGGGAGACTGCATTAAAGCACAGTAAGCTATAGTAGTCATGGCGTTTAAAGTGTCTCTTTAAGTGAATTGATGATCCTCCAAAAGAGACTGCTCAGGCTGGCTCAACTAATTTTTCAAGATTTTTTGTGACAAATCCAGCCTTCTATAGCATAATAGTTAGGCAGGACAATGAAGAGTCAAACCAGTTTAGAACGGTTTGACTTCCCAACAGCGGTCATGCAGGAGCCAGAAGCTGTCTTTCTAAACTGCGTATACCCCTTTAGCAGATATGGTGCAGGCAGAAAATGGTACGTGCCCGACCCCAGGTAAGTAGCAAGCCATTCTATAACAGTTTAACTATTAACAGTGGCTTAGGGAGTAGGGCACTCATGACACCATAACCACTACATCATGCTAAAGTGGTTATGGTACTTCAAGTGTTCCTTTAAATATTAATTTTTTTTATTTTTTTTTCTCCAGCTATTTAAGTATGCATTTTGTTTTGTTTCTCTTCCAGGAATCTCTAGTAGACTGCTACAAACCAACAGAGGTAAATGGTTTGATTTTTTTTTTTTTGTCTTGATGTGTAATATTTGTCCTATTACAAAAGAAATATCTAATTGGTAAAGTTTCATGTTTCTATTAGACATATTTTGATCATTATCCCCATTTATTTTCTTTTGTACCAGATAGTTTAATATTCTACTAGATGGTAGAATACACAATATAACAGCCCTGCAGAAATGGTAGAATGGGCTTAACTTCATTCCTTCACCACCACCACCAAAAACCAAACCACAACTCCCACATATTCTGCTGTTCACTCGCAGCTGCATTGCATGTTATGATTTTACAGTAGAAAGCTGATAAATGAACTACAACCACCAAAAATCCTTCCTTTGCCCATACAATATTACAAATGCAAACAGTGCTATTTCTTTACGAATTGGTGAGAAGACCTTATTTATTTTTAATTTCTCTAAAACCTACAATGATTATAACTGTATATAGTTACATAATATAAGAAATGATGACCCTCTTACAAGGATATTCTTTTAGGGAATGTGTGACAAATAAGACACAAACACAAGTGTATAATAAAATGTATTGTTAATATTGATTTAGGATACGGTTACAGATTTTAGAAGAATATACACATTATAACCATATCCAGTACATAATCAAAAGATACATAGTAAAAGGCAATAAGTATACATTTTAAATGAAGATCTTCCCCTTGTGCCTTCATCTTGGGTAGTCTGGGACAGTCACCTGTGCTTGCTGCGCTGTGCTCTCCAAAAGAGACAGAGAGAGTAGAGGAGAGGGGCCCAACCTCCTTGGCTGTTGTTATTTTTAAAGACTGATTCTTGCAGTCCTTAACTAAGTCCCAGAATCCCTTTTCCCTCCCAAAAGTGGTTTATCCAGCCCCCTTTTTCCAGAGAGTTCTGTCATTAAAGGACCACTATAGTGCCAGGAAAACATACTCGTTTTCCTGGCACAATAGTGCCCTGAGGGTGCCCCCACCCTCAGGGACCCCCTCCCGCCTGGCTCTGGAAGGGGGAAAGGGGTTTAAACTTACCTTTTTCCAGCGCTGGGCGGAGAGCTCTCCTCCTCTGATCCTCCTCTTCTCCTCCCCGTCGGCTGAATGCGCACGCGCGGCAAGAGCTGCGCGCGCATTCAGTCGGTCATATAGGAAAGCATTCATAATGCTTTCCTATGGACGCTGGCGTGCTCTCACTGTGAAAATCACAGTGAGAAGCACGCAAGCGCCTCTAGTGGCTGTCAATGAGACAGCCACTAGAGGAAATAGGGGAAGGCTTAACCCATTCATAAACATAGCAGTTTCTCTGAAACTGCTATGTTTATGAAAAAATGGGTTAACCCTAGCTGGACCAGGCACCCAGACCACTTCATAAAGCTGAAGTGGTCTGGGTGCCTAGAGTGGTCCTTTAAACAAGTCTTTCCCTTTGATCTCTTCCCTCCGGCTATACTGTAACGTTCTGAAAGAAGTGACCAGTTAGGGTTGGTTTCTGGGTAGATTGGACAGGATGGCTTCTTTTAGAGACAGGATAGTTTAGGGGGGGAAAAATACTACCATGGTTACACCTAGATATTCATTACTCTGATTTTCTGATAATATGCATGGAAAACTGGTTGGCAGGAGAACTGCTGGAGGGATGTAAGCTTTTGTTTTAGCTGGGTGTTGTAAAATGCAACTGCAAACTTTGATCCTTATCACACTGTTATCAAGTAGATGACCCCCAAGTTGTGAAACCAGTCACATACACAGAAAGTTATCTACTTACTTTGCATATCAATTATATTTTTAATATTGTGCTGTCAGGCAACAACTTTCAAATCTTTTTAGACTATGGGCAAATACTCCCCTACCCCCCCTTTCCAGTCCAGAAAAAAAAAAAAAGATTTTTAAAATCACTTTGTATAACCACACAAGATATTGTAAATTCCTTCCCAGAAAATTAGCCTTGTACATCTTTACTGTTTAAATGTTCATTAATTATTTCGAGAAGTGTACAATCTCATGACTTGATGTTTTGATCCTTGGAGGGGAAAAAAATTATGCTTAATCGCATCATGTACATACTCTTATATTAACTGGTTTGACCTTTGTAAGTAAAGGTGGAATGGCCTTTAACATTAATAAAAAAATAAATTAAAAATAAATAATTCTTCATAAACCTTTTACTGAATGATGTAGCAACATTCATTGACTTTTTAAGGAATACTGCAGACACAAAGAACTATAGCTTGCTATTTTTATTTCTGACAATTTATAAAAGTGCCAATTTTAATAGAAATTGGCATATTTTATAAAAAAAATAATATATATATATATATATATATTTTGTAGATTTGGTCACTCCATCCAAAACCTCAGAATTAAAATTCTTAAAGGGAATTTGAAAGACTCTCATGAACAAAATACATTTGAGATGAAAATGATCACACATTTAAACACCAGAAATTAAGTACTGGCTTTCTCACACACTACCAAACCTTTATATAAACACACATCTTAATGTCTTCTATTGTTCTTTTTCAGTATTCTTGCTTCACCTTTATTGGATCAAATTATATACATACATATATGCAGATATTTACTTGCATGCCCTGCTCTGCTGTTTTCCTGATTTATTTATTTATTTATTTTATAGTTTTTTGTTTTTTTCTTCAAATGGCTTATCGACTCTCCTCTATTTGTTTACTTTTTCTGGTTATTATCAGCCAACCTGCACCTTTCACTTTCAGGCACATCTTCCACTATCTATCAGATTGATCAGTATTGCTTCAGACCTGAAGAACAGGGGAAAACTCTTGAAAGCCTGTCTTTCAAATATTATGTTGGTCCAATAAAAAAAAGGTATCAGTGCATACTGGTACTTTGGCATTTTATTTATTTATATATATATATATATATATATATATATATATATATATATATATATATATATATATATATATATATATATATATATATATATATATATATTCAGTATGCACTGATACCTTTTTTATATAATCTCTCTCGATGGCGTGTTCCTTTAAGGCAACTATTATTTATTTATAGCAAGTTGTCATACTTTGAAACCCATAGAAAATTTGTTGGGGGGGCATGCTATATCATGCTCTGCCTCCATCAGGAAATTAAGCACATTACTCAACATTTCTATGAAATGCTCTCTTTACATGTCCTTGTATGAAGAGTTACTTTTAGGTTAGTTACTTAATTGCTTGAAATAGCACATCCTCTGCATGTCTTTTTATGAACACTATAATTTGCATTGACTTTATTTTAATTCTATATTTACATTGTTTAATTTGCAAAAAAAAAAAAAATTAGCTGCTGCTTCCGCTCTGATAATTACAACAATTATGTTCTCTACATTGAATATATAAAGAGCATTTTGCTGTATAGACGTCATGCACATTCAGATAAAATCCTTATAGTCGATCAGTTACCTGAACAGCTTCATTTTCTACAAAAGGACATAAATTATAGATTATAGATTATATAAAGAAATAGTTATATCAGTTTAGCAGATATGTTCGTTGGCATGAGCAGGGGGGAGAGGTACTTACTTTATGATATGTAGCTCGTGTATAGTTGAGAAATTGCTTAGTGGGACATTCCATTAAAAATAACAATTTAGTAGAGAACTTACTCCTCCTCCTCTTAACCCTTCCCCCCCCCCCCCCAAAAAAAAACAAAAAACTGCATGCAGTTTGTTTTGCATGTTTTCTTTTGGGGTATTTGAAATATTGTCTTGCGGTAGTTGCAGATCTAGTATCTGCAGATAGTGCAAGCTCTTCTCTTTTTTGACTGCACAAACTTCCTGTGGCTTCTCAGTGAGTTGTATTACACCTCCCTGAGAAGCTTGTAGAATGGTAGCGCGCTGGGCAAGCACCTACCGCTTAAGTTTAGCTCTATAGAGCTAAAATACCAGTAAGTAACCAAACTGGCTGTCTGCTGGGGAGGTGTAATAAGGTTCATTTATAAAAGTGCTAATTTCTATTCAAATTGGCGCTTCTATAAAATGAAAAAGACAGCAAGCTGGAGTACCTTGTGTTTGAAGTTCCTTTTAATGTTTTGGGGATCTTTTTATTTTTAATTTCCCCAGCATTCTAATTCACCTTAAAGTTGTATATTTGCATAAAATGAGCAACCAATCAAATCAAACAAGCCATCTCCTGAAAATAAAATTAATCTTCTCATCACAAAATGGGGATAATGTGTTTTTATTTATACTTGGTGATTAAGATAAAAATGGTTCCATAAAATGTTATTTTAATAAAGGGTTACTCCAACTATAATTACCACTACAGCCCGCATTATTGGTTATGATGATAGGAGTACCCTGGCGTTGTTTACAACGGTTTGCCCTCTTACCTGGTCCTGCCAAACACCTGGCCTCCTCTAAAAGCAGCTTTAAAATATCTGGATTCTGCAGAGTTACTGAAACCAGATATTGATACTGATGCTCATTTTTTGTTTACTGAAGGCATCAGCTGACTGTGTTCAGCCAACAGATGAGTGTATTGGCATGAAAATTTGCAGTTAATTGACATTAACCAGCCAACTATTTTTCCGGTCCCGGACTGCTGATGACACCCAATGATGCTGCTGGATGTGGAGTTACACCTACGGCGTCAGAGGGGTTAAACTTGGAATGTGCAGCATTTCACAGTGAAATGCTGCACAAATATTCTCCTGGTACTATGACCAGTTCATGTCACTAAGGTGGTCATAGTGGTTGGAATAAACCTTAAAGAAATATTCTGTCATTCTCTAGATCAGGCTTCCACAACGCCGGCCCTCCAGATGTTGCTGAACTACAACTCCCTAATTCTATGAAGGCTGGGAATCATGGGAGTTGTAGTTCAGCAACATCTAGAGGGCCGGAGTTTGGGAAAGCTTGCTCTAGATTCATGCTTTCATATAAATATGTATTGTGATAAAGTGAAGGCAGATAGGCCTATAACATTTAACCCCAGTGGGAGTATGTGTAGTATGTGTTGTAGACAACACAAACCAAAGTTTAGTTATGGGCCCCTGGGGTGGAGCGTTTGGAGACCAATGCTCCACTCCGCAGTTTGCATACAACTGGGAGAAACAAGTTCCAGGACAGAGTTTTGATCTGTCTCCAACCCACTGCTCAGCTGCAGATAATCAGCTGCAGCAGTGGGAATAAACCCCTCCCTGCTAGGCAGGTAAAGGGGGATTGCTGGCTTCCTCCCTGGAAGCAGGTAGGAGAGACTCTTTTCTCTCCTGTGAGAGAGTCAAGGAGACTGAGCACTGGGAGTGCAGAAAGGAAAGCAGTTAAGGCTGGCTTGGAGCACTGGGAGTGCAGAAAGGAAAGCAGTTAAGGCTGGCTTGGAGCACTGGGAGTGCAGAAAGGAAAGCAGCAGGCTAGCTGAGAGCACTGGAGTGCAGAAAGGAGAGCGAATTTTGTTTCTTTCTAGAAGGAATGGAAGCCACATGCTAACTGAGTGTGGAGTGCAGGCACTAGGTTGGTGAAACCAATTATTGTTCTGTTATAGGGAACTTGATGTTAGGATGTTAGTAAGTGCTCAGACCGAGCTAGGTTTTTTGTTTATAGGTATTTGTGTTACTGTTTTTTTTTTTTTCATTTGCTGCTGTATCTGTATTGGAGTTTAACAATAAAGTGCCTGGAATTAAGTTGCCTTACAAGACTGTGCATGTTTGTGCCCAAGAAGACCGTGCTACCTGCAGACAAGGATCACAGTCTGTTAAAGGGACACTGTAGGCACCCCGACCACTTTAGTTCATTATAGTGGTCTTGCTGCTGTGTTCCTTTTGCACCTAGTGCTGCCATGTTAAACATTGCACTTCAAGAGAAACTGCAATGTTTACATTGCAGCACAAAGTCTGCCCTCAGTGGCTGTCTAACAGAATCGTAACGGACTTTTGGTCCGTTATCGGACGCTGGAGGTCCTCATGCACCGCAGATTTCTCCATAGGAAAGCATTAGACCCTGCACGTCGTGCGACGGAAGAGGGGGCGGAGCTTCCATGGCCCTCGGTGCTGGGATAAGGTAAGTAAATAAAGTGTTTTTAAACCCTTTATTTACCAGTCAGAGGGATCTGTAGTGCCAGCAATACAGCTTTGTATTCCTGGTACTACAGTATCACTTTAATTTAACGACTGTATTAAAACTTCATTTTGTTAGGTTACCATCCAGGGTCACACATTCCTAAACATAACTTACATAAGAACCACTTGTGCTATCACCTCCCAAGTTCTATTTATATGCTGTGGAATGTGAAAGAATTACACCAGGTCTCCACGTATGTATTAAAGCTTTATGTTAAGCAAGACATGTGAAAACTGTCAATGAAAATACATGTGGAGCACTTCAGTATAATGTGCCAATTGTACACTTCAAATCCGTGTGTAGACATTAGGCAAACATGATTAAAACAGTTAGTAAAATAAATGGGGAACGTATCGATGCAATGTACCAACTGTACACATTCACACAGGGTATAAACATTATGCCATTAGACACTGCTAATAAAAATATAAATGTAGAGCACATCTATGTAATCATACCCTACATAATACAGTATAAACACTAGGTATCTTATTTGCCATATTATTATATTTGTATCTGGGGAGGAGATATGTGTCAAAATGAAGTAGTATATAAAATTTTACATTTATTAAATAAATCTCTCACACACTAGGTTATTTACTTAAACTGCCTGTTTTTTCACAGTGAATTTAAAATTGTGTGGAAAATTTATCAGTTTAAGCTATTTTACAAAAATTTGTATTCCCAACAAGTCACATTTTAGTGGATAACCATATCCATGTTTCAAAGATAATACATTCTTTATCTAAACAGCGCTGCATGCTGTCAGTCAGTCCTTGGGTGTATAGTGTGATCATTCTGTTTTACGAGTTACCTCATCCTTTGCAGGTTGTGCGCTGTGTATGATCAGCCGTTTTGATATGTTTTTACTATCAGATAGCATGATCAATTCATGTAATATCCTCAGTTGGCAAAAACCCTGCCTATGTTTTCTACAGGGTTTTGGTCCCCAGCCACCATACATCCTCCTAAACACTGTAATATTCTCTCTCAAAATACCAAGGCTTATTTAGACCTAATCATTGGTTATATAGAAGAAACAGTAGTTCCTTTTAAAGTTTGTGGGCTCGTTTAAACAAGAAGGTTTTAAAACATTCAGAAAAAGCAATGTATAGTATGCCTTCACAATCCTAGATGTAATCTGATATTAACACATGGCTTGTTTTGTTGGTATTCTATAAACCCATAGATCGAATACCTTTTAAAATTCTAGCCTTATTTTTAGCAGTTTTCCAACTCCACGTGATATTTTTGCTGTAATGCTTAAATGCAGATGTTACTACTTGTATTCTACATATACGGTTAGGTTCCCAGGATGCATATTTAAGTAACTGAATAAGCCATTAAAAAAAAAAAAAACACAAGGGATACAAATGTATTTATTTAATTAATTTAGTTTATAAAATATAAACCCAGGAAGAATGCAGGAGGATTTCTCTTGTTTTCAAGTATGTCCTGGGTTCACAAAACATTGCATTGTTACAATAGGGTACAATAAAATACAAAAACAAAATTAATACACAATATGTACAAAATTTAACATATAACAGGTACGAGATATATAATCAACCATTACAGGTGCATTGTGTTTTGATATAAGTAGAGAGGGATCTCTTAAATAATTTTAGGCCTGGGGAACATTTGAAAGTTAGCGGGAGGTCATTCCATAATTTTGGTGCTGTGTAGGAAAAGGAGGATCGAGCTACTTTCTTTTTGTATTGCGGTAGACTAAATAAAGTGCTGGTACTGGATTGGAGGTTATAGGAGGTGTGAACAGCCGGGGAGAGCATTCTGCTCAGGTAGGGAGGGAGCGTCCCAGAAAAGCTCTTAAACACAAGACTGGAAAGATGAAGGGTGCGCTTTAATTTTATTAGAAAAAAAAAATGGCGAAGACTTTACGTTTCTTGCCTGTGTGCGGTTGCGTGCTGACAGATGCAAAATATACACAGAATTGACATTAGGCTTCTGGAACAGATATTTTAGGCTGCCTACGTCATGTGTATTAGGGTGCAACTAGCCATCAGCACACAGTTGAAAATACTGTGGATGTGCAGTGTTTTAAAGCAGAAACACTACAAATACATACCCGTGTATGTAGCCGCAAAAGCCGCGCTCGCATTAGGATTTGACCATAGGAAAGCATTATTCAATACTTTTCTATAGGGGAAAATCTGACGCTGGAGGTACTCATGCATAGCGTGAGGACGTCCAGCGTCAGATAAGATGTTTATCAGTGATTATTATTATTATTATTATTACTATATTTTTATAGCGCCAACAAATTTCGTAGCACTTTACAATGGGTATGTAGGTCAAGTTTGAAATCACATGATGTTTATATTTTCCCTCTTTGAAACAATTTTTTTTTTAAGTAACAAATTTGCATAGTTTATTTAGTGGGAAAATTATTTTGTCATGGGTTTATTCACTAAATGTGAATTGAAAATAAATTGAACTTTTTAATTTTTCCAATCTTTTTTTTTTTGTCTTAAACATTGACTTGGGTCTTCTGTTCATTGCAATTCACTGGTTATTGATTGATTTATTTAGACAAATTTTACACATTGTGGTTCAAACTCCAGTTGATTTTACAATAATATACAGCTAGTGAAAATTTAGATGGTTCCAGTTGAAAGATGTCTCTTACAATTTTCTTATGTTCATTTAGTGATTGAATGTATAAGCAGTAAATGTAGCTGTACATTTTTAATGCTTATTAAGGTCAGGCTGTTGTCTTTAATGCGGAGAGATACATTATTATTTTAGTTGTTCAGTAAGACTATCTCTTCTTGTTAATCCCAATGAAGAAGTGACAGCCTTGTTGCTATTTACAGAGACACATAACAATTGTCTGTTTCTGAGCTGACTTCCATCTGTCATATATTTATCACACACACACACCCCTAGCTCAATGATAACTGGACCATGGGATGCCTCGTTCTTCATTCTCAATTTATAAAAAAACAAAACAAAACTCAAAATGCAAAAACAAGACCAGAGGATGCACAGCCCCATGGTCCCAAATGTGCTAAAATAACTCACATCCTATGAGTAGGTGTAATACAATAAAACTCACACCCCATGACCAAGAATCCCAAAACCAGTAGCCACCAACCACTTTCCCCCAGAAACTGCCATTCCAGTGTGCATTTACAAAATTAATGCATTTGAACTGACCCCATCATGTAACTTGGACCAGTCCTATAGGGAGATGAGTGTGAACAACTGCCTGTATCCACCCCAAAATACATATGACAGATAGGAACCCCACAAGTATTATATCCCTGGATAGCCTGGATCGGAGCACCCAAGTTGTCCATGTAGTATAGCCAAATCACTGCCGGGGTAAAGTTTTGACCGACCGCCCACATGGCTGTTGCCCAAAATAGCTACACATGAAAAGAGGTAGTGCCGGTCAAGTTTCGCGAGTTCCTAGACCAGGCATAGGCAACCTTCGGCACTCCAGATGTTGCCTACATCCCTCTTACATACATAATGCTGGAAAAGCATCATGGGAGGTGTAGTCCAAAACATCTGCAGTGCCGGAGGCTGCCTATGCCTGTCCTAGACTAATGTAGCTGAAGGCTCCCCCTGGCTCATAGGGTGCGAATGGTCTCCCAATTCGGGAGGGTCTTTTCCACGCACTCGATGACCAAGTACTGCTGCTTAAGTTTTGGAGACAAAATGGCCGCTATTTACTAGAGCATGTGTTTTCGGTTATACGAATGGTGGCCACCCAGAAACAGCACTTGAGTTAAAGGATCACTATAGTGTCAGGAAAACTAAGGGGTTTTCCTGACACTATAGTGCCCTTCACCAATGTGCTTTATATACCCAAATGATAAAATAGAGGACTTACTGTCTCCAGATGTCAGGTGCTCGCAGCCAGCCGGGAGCACGTGGCATTGAGATGCCTCGTAATCATGTACAGGGCTGCAAGCCTAGAAAGGCTGAGCCTGTTGTGGAAATGGCTGTAACGCAAGCTAACTACTGTAGAGCTCTGACCAGCGGATGAGCCTCGGGCAAATGAGATGCGAAGAAAGACATGGGGTCTTACAGCCCCTAAAAAATAAAAAAAATAAAAAAAGTATAGACCTATTGTATAAAAAAAAACCTATAACCTATATTGTATACTATATAAGCAAAACATAACGGAGGGCCTTCTAACAAAGAAATGATGTCCCCACATTCTAGTGTGAAGTTTAGGTGATCAACCCAAGAGTATAAGAAAGAAATATCCTGTAGGATTTCTAGAGAAAGGTTTGACAGGGAATATTACTGTGGAAAGGAACATAGCTACACAGTAAAACAACTATTGACAGCGCCTGATCCAAACAAAAAGATGATGATAATGAGTCCATCCTAGGACAAATAAACACGAGAAACACACAAACCGAAACTCCAAAGAAAAAAAGCTTGGTTGTGCCCCTACACTCTTCAACTGAAGACTAAAGTATAATATACTGATGCTTGTATTACTTGTGTCCTGTGTCCTCTCAGACACCAACATCATTGTAGCCCAGCTTAATGTACTCTATGTGCCATAGACTAGCTATAGGATAGTACTCTAGGCTTATAAACAGTAGGGCCAAGGCACCAGATGGGGTGGAGGAGCTGTAGCCCCTTTCATTACTATAAATATAATATAGTTATGCCAGGAGTAAACCTTTTTTTCTTATGACTGTTTGTTTATTATTGTGTGTATATGACAAATATAAGAAAATACATGACTATGTTGCAACAGGAATGATTCCTAAAAGACATCGACTAATAGAAAGTAGCGCCCCCAATAGACCGTATATAAAAAGTAATACAGACAAGTATTTTTCATTGAGGCCTCTTGGCCATACTGTGTCTAGTGTAGAAATCCAAAATAATTCCCGTTGCAACAAAAGTTAACTGTGGTCTTCTCCCCCCGCCCCCCAGTCGCAGAAGAGGGAACTGGTCAATGGACCTCAGTCTCAAAGATGGCAGAAGGTGTCACTCATCTAGAAAATGTTTTGCTACCAGTAATTCTGCTTTATTAGGCAGTGCGTATACTAGATCAATGGTTACGTATACGCTTTCTGAGAGGAAGATCAGTTTTCCCAATAAATGTTAGGCCACACAGACATTGCGATCTATAGACAACATGGCCTGAGATACAGGTGAGTCTGTGACAAATCTTATATTGTTTTCCTGAATGGGGATGGCTAAAAACCTAACCCGGAGTCATGTGGCTACAGGTCACGCAGCCAAGGCATCTAAAGCACCCAGTGTTGGACCATAGCAAAGTTCTGGATCTGTCTTTACCAAGAGATCCCTCAGTTTTACCACATCGGTAGCAGATCATAGGTGGCTATTGGAACTCAGGGAGAAGGGTGGGATCCCCTCTAAAGGTATTCCAATTTTTGTTAACCGTTGATCTCAGTGTATCTGAAGCTGTGGTGTATGTAATTAGAAAAAACAAATGTGGATTATTTTGTTTTTGCAGTCTGGTTTTATTCAGACATTTGTACAGGGCATCCTGTAACACTTGGTCTTTGTAGCCATGTTGCCTACTTTGGACCACATCTCCTTGAGCTGTGTCTGTGACATAAGTGGATCCAAGTTATTCCTGATGACTAATGAATTATGACAGGGATAGTGAATTCTTCAGGTGTGTTTGATGGAAGCTTTTGGCATGTGTGCAAAAAGTGGATTTTGGTCCTCAATAAGTGCTCTTTAGATCTAATGTTGATCATAATCAAGGAGGTGAAGGAGGATTTACTAGAGGTTAGGAAACTAATTGCTGAATGTGAAACCAAGGAACATTACTACTCATGTCAGCCGAAGCCAAACCCACTGTATTAAAACTGGAACTTTATTAAGCCTTATAAAACCAACCTGATCTGATTTTAAAAGGGAGAAACCGACTAAGGTGACTAGTAACTGCCGGTAGAGTTACTGTCTCCAAGAGTTAGAGAGAGATAAAGATATCTAAATAGGCATTTATTCACACTCTTATCACCCTTTACGACTGGTCCCTCACTGACAGACGCACACACACTCACACATTTACATATTCTTACACACACAAATTAATTTTATATCTTGTTGTATTAATTAATGTTTTAGGCCCATCCAGCCTTCTTATCTTTAGGAGAGCTAGTGGGGATCTTCTACCTAGGGTCCAGTGGGCAATGGATCTTCAATTTCCTCTCTGCTCCCTCACGCGTCAATTGTAGTGATGCCTGGGCTGGAGTGACTTCCTACACCACCTCACGGCATCACTACAGAGTGCTGGTGGGGGAGCAGAAAAGAACATGAAACACTTTAGCGCACCTGCTCACGCATCACTCACTACAGGTGTTCTTGGGCTCATTTATGCCCCTCCTCTCCATAAAGATGTAGCAGTGCTCAAATAATGAAATGTCTCATTTGATCGTGCTCAAAGTTAATCGTTTTCCTTGGTCCAACCTTACTTAATAAGACGATTTAGCTGTTTGGCAAATAACTTGACTATATTTGTTTGAAATTAGAGGTGTACACTTGGTGGATATTGGAAAGATTTAGATGGAATTTTCAAGCTTGATTTAATCTGTTTTGCACAGAATTAAATTATGGGTAAATGCTCATATTTACAAAGTGATATTACAGATCAAAATTTTACATTTTAAATCCGTAAAAATGTAATTCACAATACAGAATGTTTTTTTTTTTTTTTTAATGTATACTTTTCTGAGGCATTAAGCGGTTTATTTTAAAATATATAATCTATGTTAATATTGTAGATGCAGGCTGTTGAACATGAGTTAACGCTTAAACTTTCTTTTAACGTTTTCTCACGCAAAGAGAACATTAGAATTGAAGTTGAAACCGTAGTCAGAGGCTAGGAGGGGAACAGGGAGAAATATGCAATTTGTTTTGGTGGAGGGAGGGGTGGCAGTGCTGTTTTAAATGAACACTCCAAACAAATAAAATAAAAACAAAAATTTATATATATGTGTGTGTATGTATATTGGTCATTTTTTCTACAGTTCCCATGGTTAGGCATTGAGGTTTAATTTGTTTCAGTTCAGTGTTTTAATTGTGTTTATTTTATTCCCATTAAATCCCCCAGGAATTTATTAATCAACTTTTAGCACGAATAAGAGGAATGAGAAAACTAAGCCCTCCACAGAAAAAGGATATATAAGCCATCAGCCAAGGCCTTTCCAGTCACACGAGTACAGCAAGGAAAACAAGAATTCAAGACATTTTAAAGGAAAACCAAATCAAGCGGTCTTAATGAAGAACTCAATCTATATATGTATTGCTGTTTTAATGGGAGGGCCAGGGGTGGTTGGGCTGTAGTTCCAAAACGGAATATTAAAATCATTAGTAATGTAGTAGTTAATAGTTTAGTTTTTGTTTTTTTTAAGAAAAGATATTGGGCCTATGTTGAGGGAACATTGAAAAATCAAACAAAAACAATAAAAATTATAAAGAATAAGTATGCCAGCTGCTTGTACTAATTTTAAGGAATGTGACCTCTTGGGCCACAAACAAGAATTCTTTACAAATATTTAAAGTGTAGAAAAGTGTATCTTGCTTGTTTATGTGAACTGTAGTGAGCAATACAAATACAAAGGTTGCAATTCTTGTCTGGTACAATGTCCTTTATTCCCCACTCCAAAATAAACAAACACCCCCAAACCATTGGCATAACGTGAATTGGGACACCGGTGTGCTGGGTAAAAGGGGGTGGGCCAGTGATGCAAAACACGTCGCTGGTGCTGCCCAAAGGGGAATGGGTTCGCCCAAAGACCTGTCAAGTCAGCCTAGCACGAATGAACATCAGGCTGCCTATAACAGAGCCCATCCAACTGCAGGCAGACTATGACACAAGAGCAATGTTTCAATGCTCTCTGCATGGTCCTAGTGCCCTTAGTGTGAGCATATTTAATGATGCACATATGCTTTTTGGGAAAGATTCCTTGGCATTGCAAAAAATTAGGACACCATGGAACAAAACCAAAATAGTGGTACAGGAGTCTAAAGTCACAGACCTGACTTAATCAAGATGATTAAGAGTTGTGCATTGAACCAATTTGTTCAATTTTTGCTTCTATTTTGGATATAGACAACTTGCTCGTTAAATGAAACATCTACTTTGCCAATGGTGGATTTTGATGCCTTTTTAAAGTGACACTAAAAGCTTGCTGGAGCTTGTTTTTTAATGCATTTTGTACTTTTTCAAGCTTCTTAAAACCTTCTTAATACCTTTCTCTGCGTGAGCCTGTGCTGCATGCGGTCACAGCTATGTTCTTTCATAGTACCAAATGGAGCAATTTGGCACTAAAACTGTGCAGCTACTTTTTGTTTGTGCTGTGATTTTATTCATCAGGAATTTGTAAGATATGCTCAGCACTCCCACTAAGACTTAAATGGATTAGAAGTGTCCGCTACCTCTTCATCTAAAGAGACCTCACTGCAGAAGCTGTAAATGTATAGAATGCATTAAAGTGGAGGTCCACTCCAGTCTTGAGGGTCCATTCTAACTTTACTGTCAAATTATTTGACTTATATTCATATTTAAAACAATCCTTCTCTCTCTCTAATGTTTAGACATCCAATTTTTTCCTGGGTCTATATTTGGGTTTTGTGTTATTTTTTTCCCCGTACTTTGAGGCTGCATCAAGTGCAGGCACAATACGGTGTGCATAGAATATATCCTCACACAAAAGTCACTAGCCACTGCAAGCCTGTCACCAGGAATGAATCTTGCCAGCGCTGTATTTTCAATATGTCTAGTGGGCAAATTAAATTCTTGAGAACTGCAGCACACATTAAAAAAGCAGTTTTTTGTTTTTTTTGCATAAAAAAAACTTTTATGACAGATGATCTAATTATCAAAATTATATAAAAATTCATAGAAAAGGCAGTTTAAAACTAATTCTGAGCTTTATGATGTAGGTTACCTTTGCAGATAAATCATGCAACTGCATTAATAGTTAGTCTCTTGGCAGACGTTTTTGTAACTTGGATGTGACCTTGCCACAGTTCAAGAGAATAACCTTAAATGGTGATAGTCTGAGTGTTTTGTTTATAGACTTGAAATAGTTCTCATTTTTTTTAAAGGGACACTATTAGCGTCTGCAGTATTTTGACGTGGTTATGGTGCATTGAGCCTTTGGGTGCCGTCTCTTTTTTTTTGGCAAGCCATTTGTGAGCAGTTTGATACTATTTGAGGCACTGCTTGCTCAACTCTCTGCAGCATTCAGTCTCATTGCCATCTGAAGGTGAATGACTTGGTATAGATAACACAAGTGAAACACTAATGCATTACCTGAGTGTCTGCAAAGCAGCCATAATTTGGGTGGCAGAAGTGGCCTCCTTTTTTGGCAAACCCCTTAGTTTTGCAGAAACGAGAGAATAGGGCACCGAAAGACCCTTGCAGCATAACTATTAAATTAAGCTGTAGTGGCTGCAGTACTTGGTGTCCTTTTAAGTCTATTTGGCTTATTTATTTGTATCAGTGTTAAATTAAGCTTAGTTTATTTTAAGGATTGCATAACATGTAAATGTTTCATTTCATATTTTGCCAAATTTATACCTTTTTTTTTTTTTTTTGGGTTTTTCTCTTTTTAACATGCCTGATGGTGTTTCAGTGAAAGTTGATCATGGTAATGGCATTAAAAATGAGCACTTTAATAATACAATTTACAAAAACAATCTATTTTAAAGCAATTTTCCACAGTTTGTAAGACGTGCATTTATAGCATTAGTGATAAAGTTTGTATTCAAGGTCAAATGTCAGTGCAATTGCATCTTCGTTTTATTTTTTTAAAGAGCTGGACAATGTGAGAAATGTGCTAGGTAAGGGCTAATACTTTACATACATGGATGACATTTGCAATGATATTGCCTTGATGAATGCTTGTTTGACAATTTTAAAATCACCTCTTTGCCTTGTGCATGAGTTTTCTTTTTGTTTTTTGTTTTTCTTCCTTCATCTTTGTTTCTTTGGCCATGAGAGTTTATTCACAAAAATGAGAATTCAAAGTGAATTTCAAATTTAAAGGAACATTATAGTCACCGGAACCACTACAGCTTTAAGACAAAAGGCAGCGTTTACTGCCCAGTAAAACCTTCAGTGTCAGTCACTCAGACGGCCAATAGAGGTGCTTTGCATCCTATTTTAGCACTGCACTGTGTGCAGAGTGTGGAGATGCCGAACACTCCTCATAGAGATGTATTGACTCAATGCATCTCTGAGGAGATGTTGATTGGTCCAGCGTGGTGGTTTACCACGCATAAGCAATAGCCTCCAATGCTTTCCATTAGATTAACTGAGATTGTCAAGACATGGAGGCGGAGCCAGCCATGGCAAGATGAGAGCGGCAATTGAGAATAGGTAATTAAAATGAATTTTCTCTAGCCCAAAGTAGCTGAATTGAAACATATCTCTAAGCCAGCTATGCTTCCAGTTTGGCTACTTTGAAATTTGATATTCTCTTTGGATTCACTGTGAATTCTCATTTTAGTGAAATATCCTTTTATAAGCAGTGTAAACTGGTATCTTGGTAATAAAGAGTACACTCTTAAAGGGACACATAATCAACATAAACATTGCATCTCGGTGTAGGAGCAATGTTGCTGATAGCCTGTGAGTGCCATTCTTCAGTTCTTTGTCACACCACTTGAGTGGTTAGCCAAAAAACAGCGCTCTCCTCGGCATTGAAAAGGCTGAATTTACACGTCGGCCATATCAATGTCCTTATCACGACAGGATGAGAGTGTGTTCTTGTTAAATATAAATCAGGGAAACCTCATGTGAGAATCTCTGGTTGTAGTATTTCATAAAACTAAGTAATTGATTGAATGAAATGTCTTTAAAAGTAAACCATGTGTGAGAGGATTTCTGCAATATAGCAAAAGTTAACCATTTAACCGTCTATTCAATGATATAACAGGCTTTATTAAATATAGTGATCCTAAAAATCAAGCCAACAGGTGATATATTGTGTCTCTATATATTCCCTATTAGTATAATAAACATCCCTCCAGAATCATTTCATAATTACAATGTCCAAATAATCTGGAACAATCGTTGAAAAAGGAGAGGGGAGTTTAATGGGGGAGAGCGGGGGGGGGAGTTATAATAGGGAGCGATCACTTAAATTGTCAATTGGCTGTAATGGTAGTACAGGGTTATTGGAGTAGAAAAGTAGGATAATATATATATATATATATATATATATATATATATTATATATATATTATATATATACTGCTCCTTATCCTGCAAAAAGTCCACTTATCTATAGTTTAGACCAGGCACAGGCAACCTTTGGCAATGCAGATGTTTTGGACTACACCTCCCATGATCATTTGCCAGCATTATGGGTGTAAGAGCATTATGGGGGATATAGTCCAAAACATCTGGAGTGCCGAAGGTTGCCTTTCCCTGGTCTAGACTATTAAACTACAATCGCCAAAACCCCTCAATTACTGCACCTTCAAGGGTGCAAAAAAACAGAAATAAGTATAATCTCCTGCACCTACACGGGTTCTATTAGTGCCTGATACTGATATCCTTTAGCACCTTCATGGATGCTAATGGTATAAGTCCCTGTATAAAACGGCTGCAATGCAGTCTCTTATCTCCTAGTATACATAGGTAAACCCTAACTTAGCCCTCTGGAGCATCCTCTTAAAAGTGATCCTAAAAATCAAGAAGGCAGGTGATATATTGTGTCTCTATATATCCCCTGTTAGTATAATAAACATCCCTTCAGAATCAAGTCCAAATAATCTGGAGCTATCGTTGGAAAAAGGAGAGGGAAGTTAAATAAAAAAAAAAAAAGACAGCATTATAATAAGAGATCACCTAAACTGTCAATTGGCTGTAATGGTAGTACATGGGGTTATTACACACCGCTTAGGTATTCTCTGGAGGCTTAAAATTGCCTGTTGGCTTGATTTTTTTTTTAGGATCACTATATCTAATTAGCAAATAGATACAACTGTCGGTTTTATGTTTATTTTTGGCAATGGATAAATAAATCCTGTTATAATTGAATTGACCAGGCTTCCTCAAACTCCGGCCCTCCAGATGTTGCTGAACTACAACTCCCATGATTCTCAGCCTATCTATTTCATTCATAGAATCATGGGAGTTGTAGTTCAGCAACATCTGAAGGGCCGGAGTTGGGGAAGCCTGGAATAGATGGTTAAATGGTTATTTTTTGCTATATTGCAGCACTATTATCACACATTGTTTACTGTTGAAGACATTTCAATTACTTAGTTTTATGAAATACCAAACCAGGGATTCTCACACGATGTTTCCCTGATTTATATTTTTACTATAAGTGTTAAGCCCTGGGTGGAATTGGTACCACCCCCACTGACCAACCCCCATCCGGGATATTCTCTTAGTGACTTAGTCTATTAATTTTGTGTTCTTATTAAGTCTGTTTATGAAGATGGTCAGATCTGAATACTTAAAGGGACACTATAGTCACCAAAACAACTTTAGCTTAATGAAGCAGTTTTGGTGTATAGATAATGTCCCTGCAGTCTCACTGCTCAATCCTCTGCCATTTATGACTTAAATTACTTTATGAACCCTAGTCACACCTTCCTGCATGTGACTTGCACAGCCTTCATAAACCCTTCCAGTATAGAGTCATCTAATATTTATCCTTCCTTTATTGCAAGTTCTGTTTAATTTAGATTTTCTTATCCCCTGCTATATTAATAGCTTGCTAGACCCTGCAAAAGCCTCCTGTATGTGATTAAAGTTCAATTTACAGAGAAATATATACAATTGTTTAAGGTAAATTACATCTGATTTGAAAGTGAAACCAGTTTTATATTTCATGCAGGCGGTGTCAATCAGAGCCAGGGGAGGTGTGACAAGGGCTGCATAAACAGAAACAAAGTGATTTAACTCCTAAATGGCAGTGAATTGAGCAGTGAAACCTGAGAAGCATGATCTATGCACTAAAACTGCTTAATTAAGCTAAAGTTGTTTTAGGTGACTATAGTGTTCCTTTAACCCCTTAAGGACACATGACATGTGTGACATGTCTTGATTCCTTTTTATTCCAGAAGTTTGGTCCTTAAGGGGTTAAGCCAGATGATCTTGCACAATACACCTATAATAAAACTCAGGAGCAAGTAATATCACATTTCTTAAGTATCTCACTTGAAAATGGTTAATGACATTTGATTTCACTGCTTACCATTTGCATTTGTAAAAGGCACTAAGGTTCTGGTGACAGTCAGAACAGAGTGATTTATGAAACCAAGAACAGTTTTGAGCCAATTATCCCTCTTTTCAGTAACTCTTGACTTCACAATCACTACTAAAAGTTATACCTTTTTTTTGGTTATACCCACCCCCTATCATCTTAAACAGTGTTTCTATAATGCCTTAAAGTAACACTCTATAGCCCTAAAGCACTTTATTTTTCTTTAGGGTTGAATAGAGTGATCCCTTTGTCTTATTCTCTAAAACTATACATGTCCTAAATGGCACAGTTCCGTCTGTTAATAAGGTATTCCAGAGGGTGCTTTTCCTTATTTGCTTTGAGCACTCGCTCAAAGAAAAAGGCAGTGATTCTCAAAGAAAAGCACTGGTTTCAGTGCGCTCTAGGAGAAGCATTCTATTTGAGCATCGTAAAGATTGACAAGTGTGCGTACAACCACAATGCTACAAGATGGATGTAGCTGTTTTTGTGCTATTTTTACGGATGGTTTCAATTTTTTTTCTTATCCATTTTTAAATGTATACGTGGAACAGTTGAATAAAATTAAATGTACACACATGGTAAGGGGTTTGTGTATGATATATTAATTTGTTTTCTTTGCCAAGTGATTAAACAAACAGCCATAATGTTTTTATACTTTGTAGCTTATTGTAGTGGCCATGGTGCTGGGAGTCTATGGTTAATATCTTTTTAGACTTTATCAAACCATTTTCTTATTGTATTGTTTTTATTCCCCCCACCACACACACACACCCCATTTCAATAGTACAGAAATGACTATAGAAGGTGTGAGCTATATTACAATGTCCCAGTCTGGCTAATCTTAAAGTGTTGATAAATCCTGTAATTTTTTTTATTTTTTATTGTTTGTCGTGTATTAAACTACTCTCTCCAAGCATTATAACCACTACAATAAGCTGTGGGAGGGGAGGGGGGATAAGGGGGAGGGAAGGGTACCGTTTTGTCAGTAATCTATTTGCCATTATATTTTGTAGTTTAGCCAAAGGTAATAAGAATGGTTTATAGCAATAGTTTGAGGTCAACTCATACAGCATTGTTATTTGGTTATTTTAAGTGTGAGATTTTTTATTTTTTTTTTTTCACATTTTTGTCATCATATCATCTATGTTTTCTCACTTAGAGTAATCAGACGCCAAAATGAAATGTGGTGTTTTATATAAAATGGTGCTCTATTTCTGTAAGTTTTGTTATACCTTTTACCCAGTGTATCCAGCACTGTAAAATGTGTCACGATGCAAGTAAATTATAACAATCAATCATGTTTCATAAGAAGCCATGATTTCCCAAAGCATTTTTTTTTTGTCCCTCCCCCAATTGTGCTTAATTTTGTAATTTGATGACTGATTTACTGATGAGAAATTTGCTCAAATAAACACTGGAGAAGTACCTTGATTTATTGACTTCTTTCATGTGTTTTTATTTTTATTACTATGAATGTATGTATTAAAAGTAAATATCTGTTTACAAGAGGGGAATCAATAAAAAAAAATCACATATAAAGATGGAAATATTCTATTTTATTGCCTTCTTGATCTTACAGATCGTATTCAGTGTAGGTAAATTAGGATGTAACTTTGTATATGTGTAGCAGTGTATATCTGTGTGTCCTGTGTATGTACGTGTATCTGTATGTGGCAGTGTCTATCTGTGCTTTTATGTGTGTGCATATACGTGTGTTTATATATGTGCAAGTGAGTGTAGGAATGTGTATCTGTGTATATATTGGTGTGTATGTGTGCATTTGTTTCTGCTAGTGTATATCGAGGATGTGAGTGCTCAGCCAATAGTTTGGTAAGCGCTGAGTACTGTATATATTTACATTAAGTAGATCCAGTAGAAACATTTTTGTAAAGAATATTGCACTACATATAGTGTAATACAGGGGTAGGCGACCTTTGACACTCTCTAGATGTTGTGGACTATACCTCCCATAATGCTCTTACCGCCATAATTCTGGCTAAGCATCAGTGGAGTGGCAAAGGTCGCCTACACCTGGTTTAGTATATTACAGTTTGAAAATGTGCTTTTGTCTCTTCATGAAAGTGTGCATATGTTTTTTTTACCTTGTGTAATTTTTATGTAGCATTTGTACTTAGTTCGGCCACTCCCCCATGGTAGCCCCTGATATGTAGTCCTGGTGGGAAACTCCCTGGCAGATACGATATTACCATACAAAATGTTTAAATAATGCTCCAAAAATGGAAGTGGTGATGCTGTGACATTGGCAAATAATATCATTCTTATTTGTACATGTGGTGTTAACCTCCTTCGGTCAAAAAAGGTTATTAGCAAGCAATCCTGGACTGATACACATGCTCCATATATGTTAAACAGACACTATAGACACCCAGATCACTTCAGCTCATTGAAGTGGTCTGGGTGTATTGCCTCAGATCCCTTAAACTGCAATAATTACCTCTAGTGGCTGTCTACTTCCAGGCTGTTAGGCAACATTTGGTCACCTGACGCTAAACGTTCTCACGCTATGCATGGGGACGTCCAGCATCACTCAAAACCCCATAGGAAATCATTGAAATGCTTTTCTATGGTAAAATCATAATGCTTAGGTCTCCCCCACTTTCTGATGTCGGCGGGGGAGGAGACAATCGGCCTCGAGACAACTCGAGATAACAAGTTTGTTTTCCTGGCATTATAGTTTCCCTTTAACCCCTTAAGGACGGAGCCAATTGTACAAGTTATCAAAACAAAATGTAAACAAAACCTGAAATTTGCACTATATATCTGTTCAACTGTAATTCACCTGTTTCATGTTAAGTACACCCACACTTATTATATATCATTTTATACAGGAAAAACAGGGCTTTTATTTAACATCAAATATTTAGCTATGAAATATAATTTAATATCAATAAAATATTAAAAATAAAAAAAAATTGAAATTAAGACTTTTTTTTTTTAGTTCGGTATGGAATTTTAACTGTCAATGTCATAATACTGTTAGCTGTTACTGCAATAAAAGAACACATTTGTATTCAGCTATGTCCCCAGCTTCCCCCATGTACAGGTTTTATGATGTTTTGGAAAGTTACAGGGTCAAATATAGAATTTTTCAGTTTACACACATTGAAATTTGCCAGACTGCTTATGTTGCACTTGAGACAATATGGTAGCCCAGGAATGAGAATTACCCCCATGATAGCATACCATTTGCAAAAGTATACAACCCAAGGTATTAAAAATGGGGTATGTCCAGGGTTTTTTAGCAGCCACTTAGTCATAAACCCTGGCCAAAACTAGTGTTCCTTTCTGTGTGTGAAAAATGCAAATAACTAATTTGAACAGTAATTTTGGCCAGGGTTTGTGACTAAGTGGCTACTACAAAAGACTGGACATACCCCATTTTGAATACCCTTGTTTGTCTTCTTTTACAAATGGTATGCCATGATGGGGTTAATTTTCATTCCTGGGCTGCTATACGGTCTCAAAGGCAAGATAGGCCCAGCAAACCAATCTGGCAAATTTCACGTGCAAACATGGAAAAGGGGAAAGTCTGCAAAAACATGTACATTGGGGCTCTGTTGTACTCGGGAGATGTTGTTGAACAGATATTGGGGTGTATTGTCAGTAACACATAACAGAAACCGAGAATCCATGTCTAGAGTACAATGTGAGAGAAAAATAACACAAAAGAAAATGACTACCCAAAAGTTTGACAAAGACTGATGGTAGAATTAGTGCATGAAAAGTGTTAAAATACCACCATTTAAAATACCCTAGGGTGTCTACTTTTCAAAAATATATGGTTTGGTGGGGGTAAATTAAATTGGCCGGCTTCAAAAATGTCCCAAATAGGACATGGGTGCATGATGACAATCTGTGAAAATTCCAAGTTGTGCACCCTCCAAATAAGGTCTTCTAGCCCCTGGAGAACCCGACACACCTATACATGGGTGGTACAGTGGTACTCATGAGATGTTGCTGAACACATGTTGTTCTTTGGCAGTAACCCTTAAAGTTCTCCGTATATGTATTTTTTTTATTTTTTATTTGGCATAGATTGGTGGTAAAATCATTGCATGAAAAGAGTAAAAATAAGTTTAATACCTTAGGTTGTCTTCTTTGAAAAAATATATACATGTGAAGGGTTATTCAGGGTTTCCTGACAGATATCAGTGTTACAATGTAACTTGCATTTGAAAAAAGTTTGGAAATAGCAAAGTACTACTTGTACTTATAGCCCTATAACGTTCCAAAAAAAGCTAAGAACATGTTAACACTGGGCATTTCTAAACTCAGGACAACATTTTGAAACTATTTAGCACGGGTGTTTGCACACTCTCGAAATACTAGAGGCTTCGCGAGTATAGTCCGTTAGTACGCTAGTTCGTACTCTCCCGAAATCCAAAGCAGGTTGTGAGAACAAATCAATTGCTTTATTGTTCGCATACCCACACATCAGTCGAGACTTGATGAAATGTACAACAGGAATGTTTTATTCTAAGCCACATACCCTAGCATGGGGTCTCAAGCAAAAAAAAAGCCCTCAACACGCCCCGGAGTTTGTGTCTGGGAGATAATTTAGTGTATTTTGCTTAAACTAATTATGTCCTAGGCACTAGAGTTAAAAAGTATAAAATATAAAAAAATACACATAACACATATCTGAACCCCCACAAGCATTATATCACTGGATAGCCTGGATCTGAGCGCCCAACATATCCAAAGAATGCTCAGATTCCACGAACACAGCCGGTGGGGTAAAGTTTTGGCCGACCACACACGTGACGTCTGCCCAAATTAGTTCCAGAGAAATAGTGGTAGTGGTTAATCAATTTCGGGAGTTTAGAAACGAATAAAACGTTGAACGGTTCCCCGGGCTCATAGATAGACTAGTGTCTCTGACTGCCTCTCTGCTGTTTCTAACTGGTTGGCTGCCCACTTCCTTAAACTAAACTTGACCAAAACTGAAATTCTGGTCTTTCTTCCCTCAAGTGTTGTCTGTCTCCCTCCAAGTCAACGGTGCTACCATCAGCTCCACCATGCAGGCTCGCTGCCTAGGTGTTCCATTTCCATCTAAAAAACATTGCGCACATCCGCCCCTACTTAACACCAGATGCGACAAAGGTGTTGGTCCATTCCACTGTCCTTTCTCGCCTTGACTACTGTAATCCGCTTCTCAGTGGTCTTACGTGCTCCCAACTAGCGCCGTTACAGTCCATAATGAATGCGGCGGAAAGGCTCATCTTCCTGTCCGCCCGCACCTCCCATGCCTCACCCTTCTGTCAATCCCTACATTGGCTTCCTATAAAATATAGAGCTCAATTCTGGTTTTTGCTTTCAAATCGGTACATAATGCTGCTCCCACCTATCTATCCTCCCTTATACACAAGTATGTCCCGTCTAGGTCCTTACGATCTGCTGAAGACTTACGTCTATCTTCTGTCCGTACTCCCACCTCTGATGCTCGCCTTCAAGATTTCTCGAGGGCTGCACCGTTCCTGTGGAACTCGCTTCCCTCCTCCGTTAGATGCTCACCCAGTCTCCATTTCTTCAAAAAATCGTTAAAAACCCACTTCTTCATAAAAGCGTGTCAATTAAACTGTTAATAGCTGCTGACCGATTCCTCTTCTGCAACTTTCATTAGTCTAACACTATCCTTACCTTTTTATGTCATTTTACCCCACTCCCTCTAGCATGTAAGCTCATTGAGCAGGGCCCTCAACCCCTTTGTTCCTGTGTGTCCAACTTGTCTGGTTACAACTACATGTCTGTTCGTCCACCCATTGTAAAGCGCTGCGGAATTTGACGGCGCTCTATAAATATCATAACAATAATAATAGCAATTGTTCGCCCAGTTTGTGCAAACAGTCCTACCGAACAGCACTCTCCTGTCTTGTCGGGAAAAGAAGCATTTGAAACTTAGAACCCGACCAACAAACATAAGATAGAATAGCACAGGTTAACGCTCACATAATTCAGAGACCATGGCACCAATAGATGTCCGCCACAATACCTGTATTGTGAGACCTCAGCTATCATGTTCAGCGCATTGTATACTGATCCAAAGCCAAACACCCCCCAAAATATTTAATAGAGGGAAAACCTGATATACGGCCTAGCACAAATGCATGGGGGGGCATAGCGGCCCCCCCTTATGTCCAATAGGCGAGCATCCACGACGCGGGGGATACAGTATTCAAGAGGTAGGAATATTAATATTCTCATAGCGGAAGTACATTTGTATAATTTGTACAATGTGGGGGGGGGGGATACCCTTACGTATGTTTATGGAAATGGACAAGGACCTGTGAGTCCCACAATTATCTGGGCCTGTGAGCCAATAAGCTTACCCATCATAAGACTCTCTTATGGACTTCTTGTTGATTATGTTCTTGCTATATAAAAGTTATATACATGGCAAGACCTGTAAGTCTTACTGTTTGATTTACGCAAAATACGCAAAAAAATAAAAACAAATTCCCCCCAAAAAGTTTTAAAATAAATGTAAAAAGCCTATATGAACAAACAGAGAGCAGCCATTGACTTAAATCTAGTGACTGGGCACAGGGCCTCTAAAATAAGGGGTAACCTGGCATCTCATACCTACACCTAACTGTATTGGTTGGTGGCTTAAAATTCAATAATGGGAAGTGGACATGATAAGCTGGTGGGGACTAATGAAACAATACATTTGGTGGACATCCTATTGTCCCTCATCCCACATCCATGGGTGGTGGGTAGCGGTTATTTAATAATCAATAGGAACATTCTATTGTCCACCACCCACCAATGTTATGGCCAAACACCTCTCTCATTTCCCCAGCAGGTGGCTATTTCTCTCCAATCCCCTAGCCACTACTCAATTAAAAAAATAAGGGGGCAATAAATCTAATATCTGTAAAGAACAAGAAAATGTCACTTTAAAATGTTCTGAATTTAATATCTGCACCCATATTTCAGCCAACCAGCAGCTTTCGCTCCATCTGAAATCCAGACTGAATTCAGCCTGCTCTACAAAATCCCCAAATTGTTAAATAGTGTAAAAAATGTCTATGGCCCCTTTGGAGTGCAAACTTTAAAGTTTTACTATTCTAGGGTTTATGCACTAAAAACTGAATTTAAGTTTTAAAGACAACTGAAAAAGCTGTGTCTATAGATCATTAAGAGACTTGTTTTCCAAATTCACTAATTTTAACCCAAATTTTCCAAATCTCTACAATTTACAAGTAGTAAACTGCATTGCATTCTTGTTCATTTTTTGTCTTTGCATATCTATGGCTTTCCAATTTAAAAAGAATCATTTCTGCATCCTCTCTATTTTATAAAGACTTGGGGAATTAATTTCTATCAGTGACAGTGTGTGGAGGAGGAAGTGCATAATGTATTTTACAACAATTGATCTACACATTTGTACAGCTATTTGGTATTTATACATCCATTTATAATGTTCTGTACATTAAGGGATTATTCTGTAAATATACACCATATTTTAACAGAAAAAAAGAAAAGAAGCATTTGTATAAAATCAACCGGTGTTCGTGAGGTCGAGTGTTGTCCGACTTTTAGTTCCAGACACTCAATGACCAAGTCCCGCTGCCTGTGTTCGTGCGACAAGATGGCCACACGTATTGTTCGGTTATACGGATGGCAGCCACACAGGGAGAGCACTTAAAGGACCACTATAGTGCAAGGAAAGGGGTAAACACTTACCTTTTTCCAGCGCTGGGCGGAGAGCTCTCCTCCTTCTCTCCTCCTCTGTTCCGCCCGTCGGCTGAATGCGCACGCGCGGCAAGAGCTGAGCGCGCGTTCAGCCGGTCACATAGGAAAGCATTTACAATGCTTTGCTATGAACGCTGGC